CCAACTGTGATGGGAAAAAAGCCTGAAAGAGTTCGCTTCATTCACTGCAATCCTCGTACTGAGTATAGCCATATGTGATAACCACGGGGAGCCCTTGCACTTTGGCTGCTTCAGGATAACTATTATCCTCGAAATACATTGGGGCGGAAAAGACCTTTAAACATTTAATGTACTCCGTAGACAGCAGAGCAATCTTGCCAGATGTCGAACCTAGGCCCCTTGTCAAATGCAGAACAATTCTTTCCTCTCATCCTCCCAAGAACCACCAGAATCTTAAAGGAACCCAGCTTCAGTACTCCGTACAGAGTAGGAGACCCATAAATGCCATTCGCAGCGACACTACAAATCGTCCAGATATATCCAAATGGACTCCCACGGCGAGCCACAATTTGCATTCTCTGGCATTAATTCCACCGGCGCAACATTCGAAGGTCTCGAGGTCGCTAAACCTTCCTTAGTATTACTATCGAATAAATGCAGAGAAAAGTCAAATTCCGGGTATTAGGATATCGACAGATAAACCTAACCTTCAAAGGTCGCAGTCAACCCTACCACGCAGAATTAAACGTACTCGACCTGTAGGGAGGGGGGACAAGAAAAGGTATCAGCCATTTTAATGGGGAAGATAATTGCATAAATAGCCCACGGGGGTTTGTGATCGCAAAAGTCCGTTGGACACATTTCGCTCTCAAGTTCATATAAAACATAGAAAGGTGATTGGCCCTTTAACCATTTGAGTTGAACCATGGAAAATACAAATTAGACATTTAAGGCAAATGTCGCTCTAAAAGACGGGGATCCCTTTGCCAGTTGGGATCTTTTTTATAGCTGCCCGCATGGTCGATAGACGGACAGGGTACATGGTCTCGGAAGATATCCCAGCCAAAACGCGGTACACATTACCGATGACATGATCCTTCAGAGGAGTTTGAAGAAGAATGAGCATATAACAGATCTAAGCGCGATGGTTCGAGTCGATCGCACCCATCAATCGCGGCTCTGTGGCAAATGCGTATAGGGCGTGCAGCGGAAATATGGAACCGGCCCTGGCGAGCACTGTCCGAGGTACAGGCGGCTATATATAGATACGGAGAGAGTACGGTGTACATTCATGTGTTCAGAGTTACGACTCGTGCAGACTTCAGAGCGCACCGTGCCACGCTCCCCCGCGGAGGTTTGGGAAGCAACTCTAAGCGGGACAAGGCAAATGGCCTGCAAAGTTAAGAAGCAGAAAGGCTTGGAAGCCCAGAATACCGCTCCGTATTCGATATCCAGTAGCCACTGAGATAACCCAAAAAATCGGAAACGACCCATGTGAGGAGGGAGAAAGTGTAAATCAGCTCTCCTTGCATCGAAAACACGCTGTCTGTACTCCGTAGTCCGGAGTGACTGTCAATGGGCGACTGGAGCTGTTCGCGAGTCCCAGCGCCCTCAAGGGCAAAAATGGTGCATGCGGGCTGGGAGCGGGCGGCCCAATCACACATTAATTACGCCCCCGGGGATGGGCTTGGAAAAGAGGCGGCTGGGATTGGGCGACATCGTGGGTGTGCCGGCGGACTCATGGCGAGGAGGTGAGGGAGAGGACTGCTTGGATTTAGTTTCAACTAAGGTTTCTTTCAAGAGGGAAGCTCGTGACATCGCGACTTGCTCCACAGTCAGTCCATGACGAGTAAAATAAAAGCACCATCACCGCCGACATCATCTTTGGAACGTATCATCAGCTTTTCTTGACTCTCCTTTCGCTCCCCTGCCCACCCCAGCATGCAATATCCCGGCTGCGACTCCTCACTTTTGCGGTGCTTGAGAACTCTGCTCTGAACTGCTTTCATATTCATCGCCTGCATGCCTCTCTGATCGCGCCGGTCTCCCACTCAATCTACTTGCTACGAGGAGATCTATTGCTGGAGATCTCGAAAAGAAGCAATTATCCTCGTCGCCAATCCCTGCAGGCAATCACAGGACTCTCGAACAAAACTCGAAACACACACCCGGGGAGTTTGCCAACCTTCTGGTAGGCGCCTCGTAAGGCTGGCCACTTTTTGACATTTCTCAGCGGAGCTAGAACACATCTATTGCTCTCCTCCTAGCCTGCGACCCTCTGTTCCGGTCAATTCCTAAGCATTTAAGGTATTTGGCATAGCACCTTGCTCGAAACCGGGCAGAGACAATCCCGCCGTTGGCCCGTTTAAGTTTCTTTCTTCCCTGGCACCTTGATATGTCAAGAATCCCGCGCTAACATCAAATCAACCTTCCCTCGACAGGGTGAATTCTACTTTACGTCGATGACTACTACAACGGCTTCTTCCGCAAGCTTTGCTCCTGAGTCTCCGCCGTCAGGTTTGTCCTTTGCGAGTCGACTCCGGCGCCTGAGCCAGCTTCGAACCCATCATACCCACAACCCCAACTCCCCTCACTCTCCAACTCAATCATCACGTTCCAACCGGTACAGCCTGACACGTGCCGTCGGATTGGCCCTTTCGCCTCACTCTCCAGTCTTTGATACCGCCGCTGACCATCTCACCCACGATCTTCAACCGACCGTTTCTACACGGTCGGCTCCTGAACCACGAGACTCCCATGCTAGCGGCAACACTAACGACGTTGGTGTGAATCATCGCGAAGCGAGTGGATCCTCCAGCTCCTCAGAAGACCGCTCCGACGTGTCTTCCCACTCTTCCCGATCGACCCCGGCAAACGAGGCAGACATTAGACCATCGGATCCTATGCGGCTGCGGGTGGCGTCAACCGACCCTTCCATGGCCCAACAACTTTCCTCACCTCCAACTACATCGGGCCCTGCCGACGAGTCACATACTTCCCCACCGGCTACTTCAGAGTCCTACCCCAACGGTTCAACTCAGCAAGACTCCACTCATATGACAGTTAACGCCACTCCCAGTAGCATAGGACCTGCCAAAGCTCGTTCACGACCCACTATCCGATTGATCCCTCACCATGCCCAGTACTCGAGACCATCCTTGCCGTTTACTCCAATATCTCGCACAATGCCCGACGACGATTGCATTATCAGAGTGGGCAGGTACTCGGAACGTGACGGCGTACCAGTTGCAAACCCATCTAAACCGTCAGCCGCGCCAGTTGGGTTTAAGTCCAAAGTTGTTAGCCGGAAGCACTGTGAATTTTCATTCGTGAATGGACAATGGCACATCAAAGATGTTGGTAGCTCTTCTGGGACATTCCTTAACCACATGCGCCTGAGCCAGCCAAACACTCCGTCAAGATTATATGCTGTACGAGATGGTGATGTTATACAACTAGGTATTGATTTCAGAGGCGGAGAAGAGATGATTTTCAGATGCGTCCGGATCCGCATCGAGTGCAATCGGACATGGCAGCGTGGACCAAATGAGTTCAAGTAAGTTGTAAACCTCAAATAAATGATAATCATTTTGGCTGATTGCAGATGCCAGTAAAAACACAGAAAGTCTTATTAACAGCCTTGGGAAAGGTGCTGATGCAGACTACAAAGGCTGCAGGGAGTGTTCTATTTGTCTCAATTCAGTTCTGGTTCGTGCTCCAACTTCTATCTAATCTTAATCTGGGATCATCTTTACATGAGGGCTAACCTATCAGCAGAGACCTTATCAATGTCTTTTCATGGCGGCTTGCGCACATGTGTGGCACTACAAATGCATCCGCAGATTGATCCATACTCCTGAATATCCCATGTTCCAGTGCCCCAACTGTCGAGCTTATACGGATTTGAGTGCTGATGTAGACGATACAAATGACATGGGTGATGAAGACGAGGATGGCCCTGTCCATTCACAGGACCACCCAGCTATAGAGGCACCCTGCGCTTCTCTAAACGCTGTTGCAGACCAAGCTTCTAGGATAGGTGACTGTCAACCGGACGGCCAAATCCCACTCAACAGCCACCGCTCTGGCGAACTTGAAGGAGTACACACCGCTCAAGACGCGTTCCATGACGCCCCAGACGTGCCTTCCGAAGAGGCAAACCCGGAGTCGGACGATTCTCTTACGAGAAACGCGCAGAGCGAGTCGATAGACGAAATTGCACGCACTCCGAACATTGATATTCCTCGCAGAAATTTCTCGCGCACTGTAGACCAGGCCACACAAAACCGACTCGCAGCGTCAACTGGCGCTTCGCCTATCGTTCGCGATAATTTCGAAGATTGCCCTTTGACCCCTAGAAACGATCTAGGCCCGCTGGCATTAGATGGCCGCGCGGGCCGATTATAACGCTCATCTCCAAAGGTTATCAGTACCCTACCATACTGTTCTTTTGGACGTCTTTTCGATGCTCGTCCGTACGATACATTCGCCTATCTACACATTCTTGGTAATTGGGACTGCGGCGCATCGTGACTTTTTCATTTTAAATTTCTTTCTTTTCTCTTTTACACTTGTCCGTGGTAGCGTTTTAAGTGGTTTTGCAGCTTCCCACCGGGAGGCGTTCACGGAGTGCTGGAGTTCCAATCATACATTGGAAGGCTCTTTACGGCATCCATCGAGAGAGCATATGATTTTTTGAAGGAACCGATACAACTCTGAGGAGTTGATGACTGTAGTTTATACCTAATTCTTGCCTTGTTGAAATCGGTACTCTATACTCCGTAACCATAGTTTATCTATTTGGTCATTGGATAACACTAACAACGGTGTGAGCTGTCACTGATCGGTTGTGAAATGGGTGGGGGGGAGAGCTCGGTAGCCTCAGGGATGAAATCTTTGCTTTTCCACTCCACTTCTCCACTCCCTGGCGGCGCCGGTTTCAGTCTCAGCCTTTAAAACGGCGTCCAGCCAGACAGTGGTGATGCCGTTAACTGTCTTTCGAGAAAAGAAGGGGCTGTGGGGGGAATATTAGGACATTTTTTCTTCTCTCTCTTTTTCTGAAACAAACCCGGCAGAGTTCATCACATTGCTATTACAATAGGCCAGGCCATCGCGTGATCATAAATCTCGAAATCTGTCTGTGTCTCCTAGTTCCCCCAGTGCGGTGTGTGTGTACAACGATGCGTCTCGTGGAGCAGTCGAACTTCAGTAACGGAAGTTCTACCACAAACACCCAGCATCATCAGCGACGTGCGACTCATCCGTTCATGAAGTCGCATAGGTCCAAGCCTCGAAGGTCAGTCATAGAAACGACGACTCTGTGAATGTTCGAAATTGGCCTGCATTTCCGTTCTCATTCGCTAACCCTTGCTTCTGTGTAACGTTAGATGGCCGCTCGTCCTACGCTTCATCAAGGGTGCCGTCCATAGTGCCGTTCTCGTCCCACTGATCTGTCACGCGCTGTTTACCGTGCTGGTTGTCTGCTTGGATAAATACGTCTATGATAGCCTGGGTTTACCACCAACAATCGTGAGATCAATAAATGACCTTCCTTTTCTCTCCAATTCCTCATCTTCGACAAACCAACACCCCATCTTAACGCAAAAGCAACTTGTTTTGTTGCCCTTATAGATACCTTCCCTCTCCATCGTCGTCGGTCTCATCCTCGTCTTCCGTAACCAAACGTCCTACAATCGCTTTTGGGATGGTCGCAATGCCCTCACCACGATCCACACCGCCATCCGTAACCTGGCGAGAAGCATCCTGCTTAATTCATGCAATTGCAATCGCCCCCTCACCGTAGCAGAAAGACAAGATATCGAGCGTACAATTCGGGTCATGATCGCGTTTCCCTATGCCGTGAAGAACTACCTACGCGCCGAATGGAGCGTGGGATGGTCAGTACAGCCGCTCATCGAGAACGGTGCTGGGGTCGGCGGCGGCTCGTCGAAAGAGGAATACGTAGATTTGCTGCCCACCGGATTTGCGTGCCTCGAGGATAATGGGTTGTCGATCCCGTTACAACTGAGCTTTTTCGTCGAGGGCTTTATCAAGCGTGGTCTCGAAAGAGGCTGGTTTGATCCTCCAGGAGCGAGTCAAATGGGAAATCAAGTCTCCACGATGGTCGACGCGTATGGGAAGATGGAAACTATTAAATTGACGCCTATCCCTATTGCTCATCTGTACGCTTTTCCGCAAAATGGCTTTCTTTCTTTTCCTTTTTTTTCTCCTTCTCTTTGGGGGGAAGGAGGGGTTTGATGGCGCGTTTGAGTGCTCTGCTAACATCTTCCACAGCATTCACCAAAAGCAGGTCCTCGCCCTGTTCGGCTGTGTTCTTCCCTTTGCAATGGTTGACGACATGGGATGGTGGGCCGTTCCCATTGTCAGCCTTGTCATCTTCACCCTTTACGGGATCGAAGGTATCGGTTCCCAGCTCGAAGACCCCTTTGGGTACGATAGGAATGACATCAAAATGGATGCCATTGTGGAGGATCAGCGAACCGAGATTGAAGCCATCTTGAACGAGTGGAAGCGGGTTACCGAAGTCTCGGATGAAGCGGTTGACATGAATGGTGGGAACAATGAGGTCAGAAATGGTGGACGGTTTAGGAGGAGAGAATTGTTTATCAATAATGCACAGTAGGTAACTTGGAAGGTGAGCTACGTCATGCTCATTCACAGCCAATTTGGGTTTGTAGAAGCTTGGTCCATCCAGTGGTTTGTGAAAGCTTGTTTTGGATGCTATGTACTCTTTTTTCCTGGATACGCTTAAGCAAGGTTGTCTCTTTGGATGCCCATTGATCGTTCTTTATTATGCCTTGTTCTCATCAACATCCTGATAAGGAGCCTGGATTGCCTGGTTGATTTTAAGATTATTTTGCAAACATGTTACGCAGGATTAACCTCCGAGAGCTTGGTTATAGATATTAGTTACATAGGTGCTCAATTTGATCATGATCAACGCTATCAATAGAGTTTCGTACTTGCAAATGGAACACAGTTAATTATCACAGGAAATACTCCGTACTATTTCGTACAACACTCCAAGTAACTATGTACAGAGTTCTGTGTACATGCATAGCACAGCCACACTCTTCTACATCGCTGCGAAAAGGCATGCAGAGAAATTGATACCCAACAGAAGAAAATCCAAGTTAGCAGCCCCAACAAGCCCCTTAATTTGTATCACGATACGGAGTACTTGGGCACTTCCTTGATCCCTATTATCACCTACAGCAAAAGATTCGAATACTCAACCTCATTATCCACTCATAGCTTTAGCCACCCCGTGCACCCTTTTGCTACTCCCATGGCGATATCCATGCAGTCAGACTATATAATTTTTTGTTAGCAATTCTGGTATGAAGACGCATGGGCTTGCTTGTCCTTCCTAAGTCATTCTTGAAGGATACGGTATGATATTAATAGGGCGTGCTTCAAAGAGTTATGGAATATCTAATCCCCTGTCTCTATCACTTAATCTATATAAGATTGCTAGACCGCCAAACAGGAAAGGCAAAAAAGGGTAGCTAACAGGCCACTAGGCCTGTGATCAAATTTGCGTCACTTTAGAGCTCCATCTCTGCATCATTTCCTTCGCCACTGGGGGACAGTGGCCTCCCTTGGCCCGTATTCTCGGGACCAAACATCCTTCCTTCTTTCTTTTTCAACCCGGGGCTCCCGGCGGTGGGGGCAAGTCCATCTCCATGTTCTCCAGGTTGATGAAAACGACGGGAAAGTGAGGTGTCCTGTGCCTTTATCCTCTGCGACCTTCGAAGCGTTGCCGCTGGTTGGTTGTCAGTCGCTCTTCTCTGACCTTTGAACCGGACCCGGCCCGCCATCCCTGAAATATTCACGATTATGTCTCGTGTATCTGATGGCCCCTTTCCGAACATTGGATTTTGTTTCCGCTTGAAGACCTGGAGTTGTTTACGTCTCTCCATTTCTCTCCTCTCCCAACCCGGATCTGCATCTTTCATTTTCTGAAGTTGCTCGCCAAGGCGGTTTGGAACCACATTGTTGTGCCCTTCTGCTCGCGTAAAAGGGTTCAGAACCTGCGAGTGGTGCGTCGAAATCGATGACACAAGTTCCGATATCGCAGGTGATGACTCCTTGAGCCTATTCCGGCCTAGGGACGAAGCTATATCTTCGGGTCTTACAGTCACCATTTGATTGTCGCCTCCCGGCTCTCGGATCGAAGACTCTTCCTTTGTCTTACCTGGAAATGATGGTCGGCTCCAATACCCCCGTCGAGATGCTCGGAGTTCCATCAAGTTCTGACCCGATGAATATGACTCAACATCCTCTTCTTTACTAGTGGAGTCTGACTTGCCACCGCAATTCCGTGGAGATATGGGTTCCTGGGCCTTTCCTGATATCTGTGGAGGTGTGGTTTCTGATCTTTCGTTTAGCCTAGCATTTATTAAAGTGCGAAGCCTGCTAGTGCGAACCAAGCCGATCAATTCATATTTGGCCTTCAACATCGCATCAGTGATCCAGGTCTCCGTCAAACCGTATTGCTTCCCTTCCCATGTCCGCGGGCCATGTTCCGACCAAAAGGCGTGTGCATGGACAATGTATCTGTGGTTCGCACATATATTGTGCCAAGTTGGACCGTCCATAAATGCTCAAGAAGAAGATATCGCCGAAGCCCGTAGCGGAAGCTTGGCACTAAGTCTGGAGTAAGGCCTTCGGGAATCTTCTCCGGGAGCGGAATGTACGGCAGCTAATACAGAGGTAAACGTCGGTATTACCTTGGCGCCGTTAATTGACTCCTTGGGTTATTCTGTGGGGCAATTACCTCAAATATGGGCCTTCCGTTGTTATCATACCGCGCTCGTGCCATCTGATATTGATAGAAGCCACAAATCTGGAATCGTGAAAGTATTCTCTATCAATCAATGTCACAGAACTTGAATTGTCGGCGTTCCAAATGTGGCAAGGAGATTTGAAGCTGTTAATCTCGAAGCAAGGAGAATACCAATACTTGAAATATCCCTATCTTGATAGTCTGCAAGGGGAGAAAAATTGTTAGAGCGGTAGCATTTGGAGAACGAAATCAACAAATGTAGAAGTACACAAGCACCAGAATCCTGCTTCATTTTCCAGGTGAAAAAAAGGAAAGTGGAGGCTTTGGAAGCCACCAAGGAATGTGCAGCTGGAATTCACCCTTCCATCTCCCGGTGATATCAAGAGACACTCTCAGTGTAAGGCACCAGGGCTGTCAATTGAATGGGGCCTTGTTCAACTGAGAAAGGCAGGGCACACTGCTAAATGGTTTTCACTGGGTAAGAACACAACCTACCTATGGCACTGTAATTGTTCTGCTCATCTCAGGATGTACATTCAGGACCTTACCACAATGTGTACTCATGTCGTCGACATTTCTTCTTCGACCCTGGTCCTGTGGTCAGGAGCACAAACATTTGACCTGGACCTGGAAGGTACCAGGCAAAATGAAGACCCATAAGGGTAATACTGTGCTCGCTCATCCATGTTCAAGGCTAACAATACCTCCACTGTAGAGATACAGTAATGCCAGTATTGCCAGAACAGCACATCAATCAATCAACCTTGACAACATTGGGAAATCATTCCAGTTATAGAGGTGCCTCGACCTCTGTTAGGACTTCCTCAATAATACTCTCCGGGGTCAGATCTGCTAAAACAGATCTGGCCGCGGCCAAGCTGCTCCCATAGAGCAGACTGCGATCGTCTTTTGGACGAGCAACGACGATGCGATGCCTGTATGCCTTTTTGGCAGCAATGGCGACCAGTGAAGGGACTAAGCAATCTAGCCGTTGCAACGGAGCCAGGAATCTACAAAGTGTGTAAGAGATGGAAAAGATCTCTGAGCTTTGCTAACTTACCTAGCTAATGTCTGAAAGTGACAAGTTGATGCGGCTGATATACCACCGGAAACTCCACGGTGAAGCCTTAAAAACACAATAAAGTTGTGAAGATAGCAAGTCATGTCGGCGGAAATAGTTACGCTATCGCCTAGTCGTCGGAGGATCGTAATTTCCTATAATAACCGGTGAGCAAAGTCCCTGGTGGTTGCAAAAAAGATCTTGGGTGATACCATACTTCTTCCAGAATTGGACGCGGTCGATGGATGGACGGTGATAAATGAGAAGACGGCCGAACTACTGACAAGGATGAAGCCGCTCCATCGGATATCCAACCGGAATCATCTTCAAGATTTGCAAACCCATCCATTGCGTCATGAAAATGAGAAACGAAAATGTGGTCATTCTATCAGTTAATTAGTGACTGTTTTCCTCATTCATTAGGCAGTGCTAATATACCAGGTGTTTGTTTAGTAACGATGATAAAGGTTTACCATTGGCGGCAACCAATGGGATGAAAAGAAATGTTTTTGGTGTGTTATGTACCGCAGTTCTGGTAAAGATGCGCTTCAGCCGAATAAGCTAAATTCATCACCTATTAGCGATGGTGCTAAGAAGAATTTACTGCGGATACCAACCCACCTCCAAGGCTTGGACCTGAACTTCGTCGGGCGTCTGGTCAAACCTCTTCGCAATGATGACATTGACGACTTTCCTATCGTCCAAGTAGCTCTGTCTCAGCCGCGACTTATGTTTGTCTCTAGAAGTTACGTCGCTGTAAAAAGAAACGGTTTCGAAATACTAAAGAACCGTCAGCGCATTGAAAAGTCGGAGGGTGCCATCAACATCGTAAAGAAAGCCGCTTCATTGGAGCAGCGAAAGTAGGATTTCGGCAAATATAGACTTACTCCATCCACATCAGCGCTTGACTGTGAGTATCGAGATCTTCGACTCTCATTTCTATCTCTCTCCGGTGTCAAAATTGCATTGCTGAACTCCTCAAGGGAGGTATGAGGAGAGCCATCAAAAACAACATTTGATAACCCAAACGTATTCTCGACAATCTGAAGGCGACTTAGCTAAGCTCCATAGCACAAAGAGTCATACAGAAAACAGAATATCATCCATACCAGGCTCAACTCTCTACCTAGATCATCGATAGCCTCAGGGTCTGTATCGATGATGCCATGTTCCTGGGAGACGAGACAGAGTAGGAGAGCAATTTCAAGGTCAGATAAATCCTCAAGTTTATCATATAACTCAGTATTGTCCGCCATAATAACCACTCTGCCTTTTTTCGTAATCCATGCCGAAATAGCGGAAGTGCTGCTTGGTATTATCGTCGTCCGTGGCGGTCGTCTTGATGGGCCGCCGAGAGTATGTAACAGCCCTCTGTAATATTTCCAGTATTTATAACCACTAGTAACGAACCAACCATCCTGATCTCCCAGTTTAAGCCATCGAAAGCAGGCCACCACGAGGAGAGACTGCCAATACACGGCTACTTTTCCCTCCTCGAACCTTCTCTCTGCATATGTGAACAGTAGCTTATCACTCAACCGTTTAATGCGATGAGTCCCGGGACTTCGATTCTCATGTGCTCCAATGGCTTCTACAAATCCCCGTGCTGATTGGGAGAAAGTTGGTGATCAGCTCTACCGCAAAATCCGAATCTACGATGCGGTTTTTGATGAAGACCTAGAGTTAGAAAACTATATTGCCGTTGGCGCCCCGTACGGCGGTGCAATAGGTGAACTTGCTCCCATCGCATGTCGCTTGAGTTGAACTAATTATCCATCTATTAGCTTTGTATCGTGATGAAAGCAAGCTGCAAAGATATCGAGATCCGCAGCCCGCAAAATCAAGTATAGATATATATTCGTATTCTGGACAACGGATAAACCGTATCAATGTTAGTTTGCGGTCCTCCCTCTAATGAGAATTCAAATTCTAATCTTACTTAGTGGGATCATGGGTCTATTCGGGGCCTTGGGTGGTCGGAAGACGAAAAGTTACTGGTGGTGGCCGAAGATGGTACCGTGCGGTGCTACTATGGTCTGAACGGAGATTTCTCGCCGTTTTCTCTAGGAGCTGTATGAACTGGTGCCTTTTCTTTCTTTCTTTCTTCCTTTTTTTTTTTTTTTTTTTTTTTTTTTTTTGTTTTGGGTGTGTTATTATGCTCATTTGTTAACTCGGCTCCAGGCTGCGGAAGAGCACCGTGTAAAGGACTGTCGATTCTGGTCGACTGGGTTTGTTGCTCTTCTCTATAATAATCAGTTGGTATCAGTGACCAGCTACAATGAGCCCCGGCCAAAGCTGCTCGCCCTTCCGCCAGAAGGGGAAATCCATTCATGGTCAATTACCCCACCTAGTTATACGCTTTCTCGTTCCGTGGAAGTGCTCCTTTCAATTGGTCAGACCATCTACGTGGTAGATGTTACTGATGCAGAAGATCGTGTGTTGCAAAATGGCCCTTTTAAGCATATTAGCGTCTCTTCGAACGGCCGTTTTGTCGCCTTGTTCACAGGTGATGGGAAGCTCTGGGTCGTCAGCAGCGACTTTCAGAACAAATTCAGTGAATACGATTCCGGCGCCAAAACTCCACCTAAAGGCGTAACATGGTGTGGCAATGATTCTGTAGTTCTATCTTGGGAGGATGAAGTTCATAATGTTGGTCCCAACGGGGCCTCTTCTAAGTACTATATAACGCACCTCAACTCCGAATACGATCGAGACTGACATGCTGCTGAAGGTATTTTTATGATGGCCACATTCACGTTATCCCGGACTTTGATGGAGTGAGACTGTTCACTAACGAGGCTTGCGAGTTTTTGCAGAAGGTTCCTGGTAATGCTTCGTTTTCCTTCGAATATCTTCAAGTAATATCTAACATTAGAGCAGATATGACAGCAGAAGTATTCAGACTTGGTTCAAATTCTCCAGCTGCAGTATTACTAGATTCAGTTGAGCAACTTGAAAAGAGGTCCCCAACCGCGAATGAAAACGCCCAGCGTATTCGGCCAAACCTTGTCGAGGCGGTCGACACATGTGTCAAGGCAGCGGGACAGGAGTTTAATCCTTTTTGGCAGAAGCAGCTTCTCAAGGCTGCATCGTTCGGCAAATCGATTCTTGAGCTATATAACAGCGACGACTTTGTAGATATGTGTGAGAAATTACGCGTGCTGAATGCGGTTCGCGATTACCGGATCGGCCTCCCCATTTCTTTTGAGCAATATCTCCGACTTACTCCCGAGAGGTTAATTGAACGTTTAATTAACCGGCATGAATACCTCCTTGCCATTCGTTTATCCGAGTATCTTCGATTGCCTGCTGATAAAATCTATGTCCACTGGGCGAGCCAGAAAGTGAAGACTTCGAGTGAAGATGACGAAGCAATTTGCCATTTGATAGTTCAAAGGCTGCACGGAAAGCAAGGAATATCTTTCGAATCTATCGCTCGAGCAGCCTACGATGAAGGTCGTGCACATCTAGCTACGCAGCTCTTGAATTTTGAGCCCCGTGCAGGGAAGCAGGTTCCATTACTCTTGAGCATGGAGGAAGATACGCTTGCACTGGATAAAGCGATAGAGAGTGGAGATACAGATCTAATCTTCTTCGTTTTGCTCCAACTGAAACGAAAGCTTCCGTTGGCAACGTTCTTCAGGACAATAAACAATCGACCGGTGGCTTCAGCGCTGGTCGAAGCGTCCGCTTGGGATCAAGACGTCGAGCTACTAAAAGACTTGTTTTACCAAGATGACAGGTCTATTGATGGATCGAATCTGCTCTTCAGAGAGGCTCTAAAACAACCCAGTTTGCAAGGAAAAATAGATAAGATGCGTATCGCATCTCGCTTGCTCTCAGATTCTAAAGACGCAAACGTTCAATCGCATCTCAAGGCACTAACCGAAGCGTCTCAACTCCTGAAAATCCAAGAAGGCCTAGACAAAGATCTCTCTGACGGCGTCAATTTTGTTGGTCTAAGTGTGAACGAAACTATATACAGGCTGATTCGATCTGGTTACGGGAAACGCGCCAGCAAAGTTCAGAGTGAATTCAAAGTTCCCGAGAAAACTTATTGGTGGTTGAGACTGCGAGGTTTAGTCGCAAAGCGTGACTGGGGGGAGCTTGAAGAAATAGGCAAAGCCAAAAAATCCCCTATTGGATGGGAGGTATGTTCCTTAAACCTTGGAAATTCCAGCAGGGAGCCATTTAATCTTTTTGCGTGAATGGTAGCTTATATATCATAGCCTTTTTACAACGAGATTCTCGGGGCCGGAAACACGAAACTTGCTTCCACATTTATCCCCAAGTGCACCACACTAGGCGTTTCCGAAAGAATTGAGATGTGGATCAAGTGCGGAATGGTAGTTAAGGCCGGAGAAGAGGCCCTCAAGGCAAAAGATATCAGCAGCCTTGAGCGGCTAAGAACTCGCGCCTCCGGCAATGCTGTGGCGGAAATAGACCGGATGATTATTCAACTGAGGCCCAAGAAATAAGATCCATTGTGAAAATAATTTTGAAGCCGCTGTCCGGGTTTAGGTGATCTCTCCGTCGAGTTCAAAATCAAACTGCTCCGTCTGCGCGGGTTGGGCGAGTTGCGGTGGATTAACGGATGACACGGCTGGTTTTCGTTGTTTCGGTTGTCTTTCGTTGTCGCTCGTATCCATGGCATCAGGGCCTTGATCTTGTAGAATCTTATATGCATTTGTGCCCCGTTTGTTGAGGTCATCCCACGTAGCCTGTGCCCTATGTCAATACCATTGAACACACACACGGAGTATTATTTTCCTCACCTTTCGTGCTTTTACAATCTTTCCTCTATTCATGCTCTTCGCAACCTTCTTTTCAGTTTTATCCATCACTATTTCTGCCCGTTCTAATCCCTTTTCTTGCCGGAGACGTTGCGCCCGCGTCTGGCGCTTTTGCTTCTTTTTCGATACACCAGCGACATGCTGTGCACCGAGGACGGAAGGTCGGGTCAAAACAGTTCGCTCCGCACGGGGAAGTGACGCTATAGACTTGTCGACATCGACACTTGGAGAGGCACCTCGTCGCGCAGCACGAGAGCGGACGGATTTCGCTAGAATGCCGTGGGCAATTAGAGGCAGATCTCAAAAAGAAAGTTTCCGCGATCACCTTACTTCTATTCGATTTTAATTTCGGAGTTTTCATCTTTCCCTTTCACCCTTGACTTCAAGATGACTTTTTTTATTGACAATTATCGCGGATATTATTTTTTGATAAGATTTGGTCGGGTCGCAGTGTGGGGCCCTCAGCTTTCTTTGTTACATAAGCTTCGACACCACCCATGCTCTATAACTAAGTGGCATCTCCTCCTGATCTCTGAGAAACAGGACGCAAGGTTTACTCCATTGGTTTATCACTGTATACGCGATATACTATACTAGTTATGTTACATTCCCAGACAAAGTCCTGGTGGGTGCGTGTGTCTGCTGAAAGATCTGTGACTCCCAGTCCTGAATGGAAGGCTTTAGAGATATGCAACACCAACATTTTCAGGTCAAACAACAGAAGATAGACAAAAATCCAATACTTCGAGCTCGAGTCTAACAGAATTTAGATTTTCCGGCTCTCTCACCGACGACTTGGTCGATTTTGGAGATCCTTTTTCAGGTTATCGAGCCCAGACATGTTTGGGACGAGGTGCACATGATTATTGGGCGAGCGGTCAAGCCAGGTCAGGCACTCAAGTTAACTTGCATTTGCTAAGGAATATTCGTCTCACTCGTTCACATGTAAGCAATATCGTTAATTTGGGTAGTTCAGTTTTATGGTACTTTGGTGGGATGCTGTGAATTCAGGGAGGCTATGGAACCACGGATGTTGCAGCGCATCGCTCGCACTGAGGCGGAAGTCAGGGCGTAACTGCAGCATGCGTTCCAGAAGATCGGCGCCTATCGGATCTATCCGTGGAACCAGGCGTCGTAGGCTTTGCGGGGCGTAAACCGGGAAAGTAGATTTGTATTCGGGTAGCTGGCTGACTCCAGGCCATGTAAGCTCAGTGGGGGTGCCCATCACGCGAAAGATCTTGAGCAACTGGTCTTCGTTCGTCGTTCCCGAAAACAGCGGGCGACCGTTGTACATTTCAGCCATGATGCAAGCAGCAGACCAGATATCAATGCTGGTATTGTAGCTGCGGCTCCCCAACAGCACATCCGGGGGCCGATACCAGAGGGTGACCACCTCATTAGAAAAGGTATTGATGGGAATCCCAAAGGCACGTGCTAGCCCAAAATCGGCAAGCTTCAGCCGACCGTTCCGGTTGATCAGCAGGTTCTGGGGCTTCAAATCTCGATGGAGAATGCGATTTTCGTGGCAGAAGGCGATGCCGCGCATCAATTGGTAGAAGAACGATTTAATCGTGTTGGGATCCAGAGGGCCATTCTGCGCATCCATGTAGCGCTTGAGGTCATTGTCCATGTACTCAAACACAAGGATGAGTTTGTTGTCTGTATTCAGAACATCGCGTAGAGAAAGAATATTTTCATGGTCGAGTTCCTTCATCAAAGAAATCTCCCGGATTGCGGTCGAGGGAGTTCCCTCTTCCTCGTCGAGATGGATCTCCTTCAAGGCCACTATCTCATTCGTTTGGCAGTTGCGCCCTTTGTAGACCTATATGTGTAGGGGAAAGCATACGTTAGCACTAGCCCCGCTTTTGGCTTCCTGATCTTGGGTGATAGGCGGGAAACCAACTAACCGTTGCATATGTACCTTCGCCCAGCTGGTGCATGCATAGTCAGTGAATGAATTTAAAATTCGATCTGTTCTCTCTAAACACAAACAAAGACAACAAACCTTTTCCAGCTGTTGGAAGGAGGTGCGATTGCGGGAGGTTGGGAGGCTCATTGTCACTCGAATTTGAGGCGGGGCTGGAACTGTCTGCAGAATCGGACTGAGGCTCCACGAATTGGTTCAAAAAGTTGCCAATGCTGCCTCTCAGACCAAAGAGCCTGAGAAGGCCACAGTGGCGCGATCAAGGTGACAATTCTGGCTTTTGATCCCGTTCGTGCTCAACATTGTGGCTGCAGTCGCCTTTCTGGTTGTGTTGATGAGGGAGGTTGAGAGATGATGCAGCTGTAAGTGTGGGGGGGCTCGTCTCACTCGCCAATCACCGTGGGGCCGATCTTTGTCATCAACTTGCCACTTATCCATCACACCTCTCCGCGAGACGAAGCAAGCAACGCTTCACTGACGAAAGCATGGGATCGAGATGAGACGGATGAAGGCCCCAGGAAGAGTGTGTCCGTTCGGCTCATTGAAAGTGGTTTCTCTGCGGCGAGACGGCCAAATATCGTCCCAAACCTGCCAAGAATGAGGCTCAAAATTAAGCTCGTTTGGCTCTCAAACTCAAAGAGGTTAAGCTTGGTTATTTTACATATGCTAAGCCCCTTTGGGCTAGTTAGTTAGTTAGTTACGCCTTTCTAGCTTATGTAATCCAGTAGATAGGCATGAGTGGGTGTGGCGCCAAGTCAGGCCTTGGTTAGCAGCAGGCTTAAAACGGCGTCAGACATGGCCGTTTTATATAGGCCGTGGTAACCGTCTCATCGTTAATTTGAGTATACGGAGTACTTTGACGCCTAATTGGAATCGAGGGTAGATTTATGTAACTTAAGGGAGAAGAAATTTTGTGGCATTCTCGCTTGAAAATGGTGTTTCGGGATCGTGACACAGCGCGGCGACGATACGAACCGAGAACCGCGTTGCGGACCACCATTTACAGTGTTTTCACCTGGTTCTGTGAGTGATATATGAACAAAAGAGGGTCCACCCCAAACCCGAGGGGATCGAAGTCCTGACCCAGACTAGTCCTCGCATGCATATACGCTGCTTTGCCCTCGCCAGCACCTAACGACGATGGCACCAACTATCCTACTGAAGTCTTGCGCGCAGGAAAGACGTTAACAAGGGTATACTCGTGAGTATCTCGGTTCACATGAACACGAATCATTCGTACCATTTCATTTGTATTGGAATCTCTAACAAATTCTTTAGAACATCAGTTTATTTTCCTTATTCCGAGCGAGATCATGAAGCCATCGACAAGGCTCGGCTCAACGAACAATCGTACTTCGCCCTCTCCTTCACCATCGCACCCGCTCTCCCACATACAGATGGTGCGAATCTCAGCCTCAAAATCTCCCACTCAACTCCCATCTCTTTACCTAGAAGCAGGCCACTAAATAATGGAACCAATATCCTCTGTGCCTCCAAACCATTCACCGTGCGGTCCCCAGCCGGAGAAACTGATGGGATCAGCCCACCATGGTTCGATGAAGCAGACGCCGTGCTCCTCTTCGCCTCCGCGACCAATGGGAGGATGTACGTAACCCTTCGAACGCTATGGAATGAGAACGGAGACCTAGAAATCCGGACGGACGGGCCGGACTGGGTAAGTCGTTGCAAGCCTTTCTCAAATACTTACCACAAGGTCATCCGTTAACCAACGTACGAAATCACAGGACCAGCAACCCCCCTCCACGAAAGCGCCCCTTCTGACCCTTTCCCTCTCCCCCATGCTCTCCGCCACTGTACCGGAGCCCCCCTATTCAGCTTCACCCACTTCAACTTTTCCAATTCGATACGTCCTCCTTTCCATTCTCAAGATAACAGCCTTTATCCCACTCGGCTTAGAAGCGGCTATCTCTTTCATCCTGTCCGCTGTCATCGCCATTATTGGATTCTTGTTTACCACCCTATTTTGGCTTGCTCTGTTTACGCTCGTGATCCTTGGCGGGCTGTGGTATTATAGGGGTCGACCCGATATTGGAGAGTTTATATCCGATGTGAGGACACATGTTCGACCAATAACCGACAATTTACAAGAACAATGGACATCGTGGCGGGCCAGATGGCCAAGAGAGCAAGAGCGAACTCTGCCCGTGAGCGAATCGCAGGTACAAGCTGTAGAAGGAGACAAGATGGGATAAAGGCAGATGAAGATGCAACGTACCGGATACTTAGCATCATGTTACACAAGAGGTGACAGAATCACTGCCTGAAGCATATGGCATTGTTTTAAAATTGTGTTTTAATGGGATAAAGGTGTTTTGGAGTAATGCAAATCAACATCATAATAAATATTTGTTGCTGATAAGCATATGTCATAGCAGCAGATGCTTGCACTGCTCATTCACATATTTCCGCAGCTATAGTTTGATCAAGCTTCAATGAGCTCCCACCGGCAGAACTGCCGTGAAATATCTTTCCACAGGATAATCAACATTGTAGCGATATTGGCAGCATGTGTCTCCTGATAGGTTTTGCATCCCACCGCCGATTCAGGTTCTCGAATTCCACACAAAAGATGTCCAAAGTCTTCTCCCAGCTGGATAGAGTCTGTGAGCCCTGCACAGCGATCACATTCCAATTTTGGGTGGAGACAATCATAGTGAAATTGTTTCATTACATGAGATTCATCTGCCGTTACTGCGAGCAAACCAAAAATGGAGAAAATGAGCTCCAACTGTGCATCAGTTGTCAATGCCATCATTGCAAGCGCGATCATTCTGACTTTAGCTGCTAGAGAAGGCGCTATTTCCGGCAAATAATGCTTTCGGCCGGGGTCGTAGCGACTACTCATATGCGAAAATTCATTCGCATATATCCCCTCTAGCGCGTGGAATAAGCGTACGGAACCGAATATGCCCCCAGGAATCTCAGCAAGAAAGTGTTTGAGCACAGTAGATATGACATGCATATACTTGTCGGCTCGGCCACGTTCGCGAGCATTTATCTGTTCCATGGGGAGGTCTATCGGTCTCATGGTCTTGTTGATCTTATACTTAAGCTTCTCCGCACCCAAAACTTGCCCTGCATAATAGCTGTACAAAGCGTTAATCAACTCTGGTTTGCCCGGCTCCCTGTGGATAAATGGAAGAGCGGTACCTGCATTCCAGTCACTGTCAAGTTCGTTGAATAGAGGGAGTTCCATTTACCATGTGTTATCAATGCGTTAACGGTTGCTGCGATACAAGTTGGAAGCTTCAGTGTCCCAGGAAAGTATCGGGGGGGAAGCTTTGACAATATGCTTTCTCCTCCAAGGCGAGAAAGGTCCTCTAAAGTTCTACCTGTCAACGAGCCCGGGCGATACTGTGCTGTGAGGCTTTCCAAAGTCTTCATGCGTCTCAGTTTCTGCCTGACACCTTTCTTTCGTCCTATTGTCAAGGTTGATTTCGCCGTCCGGATCCGACGGAGAAAGGAATTGGGCTGGTTGACCGCCGGGGTAGCTGATTAAGTCAAATTATTATAAATTTAAGCCTTTTCTACTCGGAAGATCTACTACACACCTAAGGTCTGTGTATGCATTTTGGGTGAGGTAAGGGACTCAAGTCCAAAATATGGAGCAGAGGTATTGAATGCAAGGAATGCCTTAGACCTCGCGAATTCCCTCCGTGCGGTGCTTTTCCTTTCCAGGATTCTCCGCGAGGTGCCGTCGGATGAGTTACTTGGTATCCTCGAGATCGAATGATTGCCGCTTGGTGCAGCAGGTAAGGTCACCGAATGCATACCATGCTTAAGTTCGGGAACCAGGAAGTCATGGGAGCTTCCCAGTTCAGCACTATGGCCTCGATCAGTCGTATTCTGTGAGGATCGATGACGTGACGACCCTTCTGAAGCCTGTCTGATCGCATGGCTATCGGAAAAAGGATCAATGGCCCGTTGAGAGATGAACGCATCTAGCGTAGCTATTGGACTCTGACATCTTTTCGAGGGGTAGCGATGCACAGTCGTATTAGACTTTTCGGAAAAGATGCTTTGGTTACTCGTATGCCTTGACGTGAGCTGATCGTCTGGCTTCGGCCTGAGTGCAAGAGCTTCTGCTCTCGGTGACCTTCTCAGCTTCTTAGCAGGGACCAATTCATCCGAGCGGGGAGTCTGAGAAACTGAGAGGAATGAATCCTTATTGTGGCGACTTGAAGCACATCGGATGTTGGAGATGTTGGAAAGGGATTGCTGCCCAGCCTGATTGGTAGGCGTTTCGACTGTGACAGCTGAGACGCTGTATTGTGAGCTGTGCTGTTTCCGCACATCAACTTGTGAGGAATCGTTGTTGTTCTGTGAGCGCTGAGCCAATGCTTGGTCTGCAATATCGAGATCAAGTGTTTTAGGAGTGTTACTGGCACAGAGCTCTAGCTTTTGAGCCAAATTGATCGTCGCAGGCGCGAAACGAGTGGTGGACTCGGATCTGTCTGATTCTGATTCGGCCGCTTTCCTCGGTGTTCTCCTATAAAGTCGGGATAAATACTGTCGAGCTTGTGCAAATCCCATCTCCCACATCCCATGTCCCACAGTTGCTTTCCTATTTGTTAAATGACGGCAGACTCGCGTAGCTGCGATGAATTATATGTTCCTCGGGGTTGAAGAGCAACATGCTGAAAATGCAAGGAAATCCACCTTGCGGGAGGATATGACGAAAGACTCGGCGTCGAGGTTTGGAACTGGCAGGGACGCTGCTTCGGCAAGCCCGTGAAAGTGCAATCCACTCAGATATTTCCTGGGAAAGTATCACTGGGCTCGCTGTGTGTGGAGATAAACTTGACAGCCACCAAACCTTCAAGCTGGCTGCTTTGGAAGCGGCTGGGAGCGGACCCAACTTTGACAGCTTAGATGATCTCAGCCTGGTGATGCTCTGTCTCTGTCATCAGTTAAAATTCATTTAGCAAGATATAGACAATTATGAGAAGCGATTAAATGAGGAACCAAGTTAATGAACAATAGTAGAAGCGGATACCAAAAGATTTTGTGTCAAGTTCGTCGAGAGTTCTGGCGCCGCCATGATCTCTTCTAATATGTCGTGATTCAAAGGAAAATGTGCCAATCTTCGAGGATCCATAACTGAAGAAAACCGGTTGACATGCCCCTTCCGGTCCCAATTACCCTTCTTTTTTTTTTACAATAAGAGGCGTATGAAAGCCAAAGTTCCCAGTCCAAAACCACCCTGTATACCATGCATGCTCCCAGACCAACTCCGTCCCTCTTGAAACTCCTTGTATTCCGTGCATGAATGTTAAGGTTCGTCCAGTTCACCCTCGATGACTAGATAGTGAAGGATGTCACTGAGTGTAAGAACGCCTTTTAGTCGAAAGAATTCGTCAACTACGATGAACCGGTGAACTCGAGATTTCCGAAGGGTGTCGAGAATAGTATCGAGGCCATCTTCAACAGAGCACGTATAGATACCGGGGAAATCCTGTCTGGTTATCAGCCGGCGTCCACACCGGGGTTTGAAGATTTCACACGCACCGGTGAACGCTTTTTCAGTGCCTCTCCGACGGGGAGGCTCAGATCGTCATAAACTCCTCCCTTTATTAACGTGATGACGTCAACGGCTTCAAACACATTGTAGACAACACCTAATGAAGACGAGAAACGTGAGAAAACGAATTTCTTCATGGGAAGCCAAGAAAGCATTGCCCACTATCCGCTTACCTTCCGAGTTGACAATTGGAACACTGGAGATGCTGCGCTCAACCAGCTTATGGATAATGTCGATAACCGGCGTATCGATTGACGCCGTAACAATATTCTTGTATGTTCCCAAGCCGATTTCTTTAAGTGGTTTACGTAGGCTCTGCGTCTGGGGCACGTTAACCGCCATAAACTTCAGAATTCGATACTGTGTGACGACGCTGACAACGAGAGGTCTGTCGGTCTGACTGTCGTATGACACTAGCGGTATCCTACGCGCCCTTGAAGATAGCATGTACCGGCATGCTTGATAAAGGGGCTTTTCGGGATCGATCGAGATCGTTTCTGGCGGAGCAACACCAAGTGCTCTTTCGATTTCTGAAAATACCAAGTGAATACTTGTTAACATTTGCTGCAAATTGGTTATTGGAGGGGATCACCGATACCTCGGAGGCTGCTTAACCGAAACTGATCTATTTTCGCCAGCGCGGCAGGGTTCTGAAAATAATACTGAATAACATTTATGTAGTCGGAGGTGGTAAGCAAGCCGGCAAATGTCGACGTGTGCGAATCCCAAAGAGGAGCGGAAACGATGCCTATGGGCATATCTACCGCGGTTAATGAACGGAATTCCACATTTCTTCAGACTGCGATAGAACGGGGTTGCTAACTGACCATTTTGTATGAGAATATTCAGACTCTCTTTGACTGACAAGGAAGTATCAAACACAATAAGGCGGAAGCTGAGAGGTAAAACATCATAACTGGTGTGACTTTTCAAGAAATCTCGGATATGCCACTAAGAGGAACGAGTTAGTTGCTTGGTTATTGAAAGGTTAGACTGGCGAAGGGAGAGAAGGGTGGAGGAAAGTCAAGAAGTCAAAAGCGTAGTTCCAAGCGCAACAGAATGATTTCTCCCTCGTGAAGAGATAGCACTCACCAGAGCTTGTCGTTCTTCACGGTCAACGGGCCTTTCAACAGGAGCAATTGGTCGGGAGGCAGCTCTCGGTCGCAGGTAGGACGACGGCTGCACAAATCCCGCCTCGTGACCGCTTCTGGATGTGCCGTAAGGCGATGAGCCCAGGTTCGAGGCGGGATGTGAAGATTTTGTGGAAGCCGTCGCATGTGGTCGAGTCAGAGCCTCATCCGGCATCATTGCGGTGTGAGCTCCGGTGACAACAGCTGCATAAAATAGTGTGAGAAAGGTATTAGCGGAGCAGAGGGATTAATATCAGCTTGCGATGGGTTGGTTGCGTGAAGCGATTGCGATTTTGGCTGTCGCAGAAACATGAACGAGGCACAGTGCACTCCCAATCCAAGTGCGTCGACTTAATAGCTCACAAGAGCTTCACATGAATCCAGACATTCATCCAACGTAAAAATAATAGGGTTGAAACGCAGGCCTACAGTTTGTTCAAGCAACCAGGCCAGGAATTGACTGCCACAGAGCTATCCATGCATTCGATCTAAGTGGTATTCGCCCGCATCCTCCAGTTACTCTGCCCAGTTGGCGGCGGCGGCGACGATGATGTTCCCTCCTCTGGGCACATTAGTTTCTCTGGCTTTTTGAAGTGGGATGTCTCGGCCCTTTGTTGTTCCGCGATATCCTCGTCGATTTAGGTTGATGGGTCACCGAGGAAGCAACTTGATGATCGTCCCCGTCGTCCAGGATGCTGTGTAACTGCTGGCCGTGACGAATGAACGATGCCTTTTCTTGCTCTCTCCCATCGCGGATGGAAACAGCTACTCCGTACGTCTCGAAAGAACAATGATTGATGTCATTAAAAATAATAAGGTTAGAAAGTATATTCTAGCGGGTATCTATCTCGACATGATGTAGCAATATCAACGCTCCCGTGAAACCATGGAAACTCTTTTGTGCGAAGACCACATTTAAAAAAAAAAAAAAAAAAAAAAAGAAAGAAAGAAAGAAAAAAAGAAAGAAAGAAAAAGAAATACCGAAAACGATGCAACCCCGGAAGAGGATACGGAACATCGCCCAACCACACTCCATCCTTTTATGCCGCCACGGGCTGGGCTGGGGCGGCGGGTGAATCGGTAACATCCAACTGCTCCAATTTCTCTTCGACTCTAGCAGTATTGGGCGCTTCGGTCTCCGCACGGCTCTTGCCCGGTCCTCCTTTAAGATAGTTTTCGTGCTCACCCACAAGTTTACCTCCTTTATTCCACCTTTCGCGGTACTCTTCTCTCCGCTGGGCGGCGAGGGCATTAAGCGCTGGCCAGTAGCTAGAATGGTCATATTCAAATTCGACATCTCCATTGACAGCCTTCCAGAGTTGAGCAGGAGGGACATGTTGTCGAAGATCCTCGTTAAACTTTAATTTTTCACGAGTCCGTGGGTCGATGAACGGTGTAATTAGTTTCATAAATCCCAGAATGACGAGAGGCACTAGGGAAGTGTTTTAGCAAAAGAGTTATATTAAAGCACACAGCTACAGCGAAACTCACTGTTAATTACCAGGGCCCGTCCCAAACGCTCAGGGTAGTGATTCTGGAGAATATGAAGGGTCTGCCTGCCTTGACCGATTGTGGCGTTTTGCCCGGATCTTGTCTGCTTGAAATTGACCAGCAGCGCGAGGGATTCTTGATCCGGTCCCATCAGATCAATTACCCGTTCCAGCATAAACACAAGGTGCTGTATCTGGCGATCGCTGTGCTCGGTATTTTGTCTTGCTGGGTTCAAGTATAGACAGGGGCGACCACTGTTGTCAAAACCTAGGATAATTTGTTTCCCAGTCTCATTTTCAACCGAGATGTATTCTTGAGTATGTTCTTTAACACCGTATTCCCGTCTCCACGTTAAAGTTGCCTGGAGGCGCTGGATAGCATCCGCGACATTCCACTTTGTGGCACGAAGGTACCGGAGTAAGCATTCTCGGGTAAGGAATATTCGCTCATCATCTGTAAGAGGTTCGGTTGGTGCATTTTTGGAAGACGTAGTCGGAATCGTCGTCCACTCGGAGACTGCTTTCAACACGGTCTCATACTTCGTCTGCTCCTCGGCGGTCAATTCAGGGGGAGATGGAGGCCTGCAGTCGTCGAGAGGTCGGGGAAAAAGAGTTTTGATGAGGCCATCGGCAGCCGAGAGGGGAAGAGTATCAGCGAAAGATTTTTTCTCATTTGGTTTGTTATCTGTTGTCGTCGTTGCTTGGTTTTCATTATCCGTTTTTTCCTCCTTTGCATCCTCCGGCGTCTCCGGTTGCTGCTGAGGTTCGACAGGGGCAGCAGATTCCTCCTTTGGCGCTTCCATTGTCCTCAACATTCAATAATAGAGTGCCACCAGAAACGAGGGACAAAACAAGCTTCAAAGCTTCCAAACTCGATGAATTCAAAGAGCGCGAGTACCAGGGAATATTGCATCCAAAGCCCGGCAAGCCCAACGCAAGCTGTTTCAACAAGGTCCAGCTCACCCAAAGCGGTGAGTGTGATCAGCCAATAGTGGTTGATCGTTGTTTTAGCCTTTGGCAGAAACACAATTTTCCGCAAAAACTGTTGTTCCGGCGCAGACCACTCAACGCGTCGACACGCGTCAAACGGCCGGCTCGATGGATGGATGGGGGAGACCTTCCGCACATACGGAGTACGGTTGATCTCCTTCAACAACCATTGAGCGTTACACTACAGAATCTTAAATCAAATATGGACGAAATTACAGCGGAGCTCAATGAGCTTTTTGCGGGAGGTAGTCCTGACGGACTGCCTCAAGATGTGCTTGCGGAGCTTCGATCCATTATGGATATTCACGCACTATCCCCGCAAGAACTGTTCTTTAAATGGGAATCATACTCCATGAAGATGGGGGAAGAGACACAATTGAACTTGGACACAGCGCGTGCATTGAAACAAGATATTCAGGATACGCTGGAACGGGAATCAAGAGGAAAAGGTCACCTAAGACCATCAGAAAAAAGGAGCATGGCTTCTGCGGCTCCTCGTGCCCTTGGAAATAACCAGGATGTATTTGACATGTATGATATTAGGGAATTCTATTTTCAATCACATTTCGTTGCTAACTGTCAAGTAGGTTAGGAGACTTAGTCCCAAATACACCACATACTGCTGCGAAACCCGTCAAGCGGAAAGCTGGATTTGACACTCCTTTGACGTCCAAGGTGAGCAAAGGAGGAGACTTCAGCTCCCCATTGAATGCCCGCACTCCTATCAAACTATCCGGTGGGGCATCTAACCTACCTGCGTATGAGTACCACTCGCATTTCCTCTGTATTCGAATGTTAGCCTAATAACCAGTGCAGTCCCACCCCTTTCTCCGAACGCAAGAATAACGGGGAGATATTGGAAACCCTAAATCCCAACCTCCCGGCGGCTCAGGCCCCCGTAGCCCCGTATTCGGAGGCGCGCATAAAGTTGGCAGCAAACACGGACATCAAAAAATTCTCATACAAACCAATGGCTATGAAATTGTCTGAATGCTCCGAAGTCCTCGACGACCGGATAGACGAGTTCGCGGCTGTGTATCAAAAGCAACATAGTTCGGATGATACGCCTTTTGGGAATGCAGCTCACCAAAGCACCAGGAAAGTTATCGCCGTAGGTAGAATTGCTTCTGACAGTATGGAAGGCAGGCTAAACACGGCATCTTTGGTTTTTGAAATGTCTCGACGCACGGGTGCTGGTTTGCGCGTGCCTCTCAAGGTCGACTCACTACCATCAGTCCAATTGTTTCCAGGTCAAATTGTCGCAATCAAGGGAATTAACGCTTCCGGCGAATATTTCTCTGCTCTTGAAGTTCTACAGCCTCCCTTTCTTCCTCCTGCTGCTTCCTCCCCCGAAATTATAAGTTCTATAAATGAGCGACTCAGCGAGTCAGGCAGTGCACCCTTAAACATACTCGTTGCCTCAGGACCATATACAACGGACGACAATTTGAACTTCGAGCCCCTGAACGAACTTTGCGCCAAAGCTGCTGAGCAGTCTATTGATACATTAGTATTAACAGGGCCTTTTCTTGATATTGAACATCCGTTAATTGCCACCGGAGACTTTGATCTTCCAGAAATAAATGGCCTAGATCCTGATACTGCGACACTCTCAGTTCTTTTCAGGTACTGTATCTCACGTCCACTGCATCGACTGGCCATGGCCGTACCTAGCATCACCATTGTTTTAGTTCCTTCTGTGCGCGATGCAGTGAACAGACACGTATCCTGGCCCCAGGATATGCTACCAAGGTTGGAACTTGGACTACCTAAACAAGTACGCATGGTACCTAATCCTGTTACCATATCTTTGAATGAATCTGTTTTTGGCCTATGCTCGTATGACGTCTTATACGAGTTGAGACGAGAAGAAGTGCTAGGCGGAAAGCCGACAGAAGGGAATTTGTTGACGAGATTATCACGGTATCTTATTGAGCAACGACACTTTTCTCCCGTTTTTCCACCGTCTGCTAGAGAGCATCTACCAAAGTCTGGCACCGAAAATGGAATTGCGACAGGCGCCATGCTGGACCTTAGATATTTGAAATTGGGAGAGTGGTGGAATGTCCAACCGGATGTTCTCATTATCCCTAGCGTTTTACCACCATTCGTCAAGGTAAGATTATACGACTCATTCAACCTCTCTACTGTAAGATTGAAAATTTACCTGGTCTATAGGTTATTGAGGGTGTTTTGGTGATTAACCCAGGCACTGTATCCAAGAGGAGAGGGCCAGGAACCTACGCACAACTCGCAGTGCATCCACGGGTGCTCACGGAGGAAGAACAGGACGCGAAATATATTAATCATAGACTGTTCGAAAGGGCGAGGGTTGATATCATTAGGATTTAAGCGGGAATACGCGGAAATTTCGGAGTTTTGGGCACTTTTAACGCAGATAATGTAAATCGGGATCGGGTTGCAGGGTTAAGGCCTCGTATCCATTAAAATCATCACGAAGAACATCGTTTTTATATGATAGCAACGCACACGAATTCCGAGGGTATCTAATGATGGCGCACTCCCTCTCGCTCAAAGACATAGAATCGGATAACCCATACGCCATTCCATGCAGCCAGCCTCGACCAAGTTCCAGTCCGTATGCGGACAATGAACGCAAAGAGTATGTACCCCATTAGCCTTGTGAAAGCGCAAAAAAGCAACGTTCATCTCAAACAGACAACCCTCCTCATTCTCCTTGCTCGACTCCCCACCAAGTCTCCTTCGCCACCACCTTTCCTCTCCGCACCACCAAGCCTTACCCCTCTCATCAGCTCCTCCAACCCCAGATCGCGCCAAACAGTCTCCCTCCGCCCATCCATCGCCCTCGTAATTCCAAATGCCGCATGCTGATCTGGAACCACGTCATCCTCATCTTCAGGATTCACAGGTTGAAATTGCGGAAGGACAAAAATGTCTTCGATGGGGAGGAAAGAAGGGGTTTGGGATGCTGGTATGGATTGGTTTTGGGCGTGGTGGGCTGGGTTAGCGATCGATGAAGGGTTATTTGCAGAGGATATGCTGGCCGCAGAGGTGTACGGGCGATTAAAATCTTCGAAAAGGTCGGCGAGGCGGGGCTGGTGGAAATGGATATACGTGGGTGAGGAGTCTTTGGACTATGGTTGTTCGTGTCAGTTCGCTGAGCTTGGGTAGAAATGAAAGCAGAGTATGGAAGGATTGTGAGTACCATTATGATGGCTGCTTTGGAAATCTTCAAAATCTAAATTAGTTCAATGTTTCCCTTTGGCTAGGCCTTTGAATATCAATAGCTTGTGCTATGTTGTTTGCTGTTGACTCTTGGTCCAAGAGCCGTTTAGAAAGAATATGCTGACATAACCAAGATTTGAGAGAACCTGAGGGATGCGTTACAAAAAATTAGCAACTACTGAAGATCGAGAGTCATTAAATCTCAGCCGTTCAATTATACCTTGTGGCTAATCATGCATCTAAAGCGATCCCAGTATAAATAACAATCCTTTCCCCGGCGCCGAACTTTTGAAACGGCTACGTAGATACATACATCAAAAAGAGGTGAAAGGTCCTAAGGCCGCGGTCCCAACTCTCAGAAAAGAAAGAATCATTCCAGCTTAGACAGGATACGAAAAAATATCGGAACTGAAGAATAGGAAAGGACCAAAATAGTCATATATTGCACCGCGTTTAATAGTGCTTCGAGTCTGTTTCGTAGTAAATTCCAAGTTAGCGAACCTCACACATACACCTCAAAGCAAGCACTTCCAAAGGCAGCCAAGAAGATTTCACCCACCTTCGGATTCGGTACTCATCCGGTGCACAATGGGCACAGCACTGGGAGGTAAGCTTCCCATTTCTGTGATGACCATGTCAATATATTGCGCCGGCGTAACATCATGCATTATATTTAGCAGTTGTAGGTGCTTCATCTCTCGCCAATTCTGCAGCGGCCGATTGTGATCAGTCACCAGGGATGTAGGGCCAAGCGACGAGGCTAGTGAACTGGTATCTGCATTCGCTCCGGCGGATTTGGTAGAACCACCCTTTCTAGTTGGTGCGGGTGTGGGCGGCGATAATTGGGTAACTTGTTCTGACGGTTCGATACCCACTAAGTCATCCGCTTCTGCGATTTCGTTCACGACGATACTGTCGAGGGCAACACGGTCCGTGAATTTGGCTGTTTCGCAACATACGATGACAGGAATATCAATACCTCCCACTCTCTCCTTCGCCGACATTGCGACGAGTGCTGTTCCAACTCTTGAGAAGAGGCATCCATTGCTGGTCATGGCGTGAGCGCCTAGGAATACCTTTGTTGCCTCCCTGATAGCATATGCGATTCCGTTGATAAGCGAGTACTGCACCTCCAGGCCAGCCTTGGATAGTGTACGAGCAAGATTCTTTCCCTCGAAGAGAGGTCGGGTATCAACGATGAAAACGCGGAACTTTTTGCCTTGCGCATGCGCTGTAAGCAGGGCTTTTTGAACGACACTGCTGTTTGCATAGCAAAGTATAACGTCCCCATCTTTGATCTTCTCTGCAGCGCTGTTGGCGATTACTTGAGAAGCCACAGTATACTTTTCACGGATGTAGTTGTCTATATAGTCGTAAATCTGTTGCTTCGCTTCATCTTCAGAATCACCAGGATCAATGGTTGTGATCTCCAATTTCAACGCACGAATGGCATTTCCTTGACTGATTGCGAGAGGACGGCACGTCGTCAGGTAGTTAATCTGGTGGGAAAGGTACGTGGTCAGATTGCGAGAGAGGGACGTGCCGATCGGTGTAATATATGCCTGAACAACCTATCATGAAAAAAAAAAAAAAATTATCTTAGCACTCCGTCCAATCCTAGAGCCAATGGACCCGAGCTTTGCACAGCAGCATACCCTTCTTAAAGCCAGCAATGTCGCAACGCATCTCGCTGAGCTTCCGCAAATCACATAATCCCGCAGCTGCATTCCGAGAGCAACGACAGCAGGGTGAATCTCTTTACCGACACCCGCAATCCCAGCACGGCGAGAATGCCACGGCAGATGTCCAAAAACAGCCACAATATTCTCATTCTCAGCCTTCTTCTTCTTCTTTTTGGCCTCTGCGGCAGGAACATGTACTGATCCCCTCCGTTGCGCAACCACCGCCGGTCCCGCGCCCTGCTTCTGAGCCTTTTGGCCCTCACCCTTTTTCTGCGACTGTTTATTATCTCCCTTCTTCGGCCCACCAGGCTGCTGGCCCGCCTGCGACTGCGCAGCTGGACCAGCCTGCTGTTCACGCTCCTGCTTTTCTTTCGCCCGTCTCGCAGCCTTCTCAGCCTTAGCCCTCTTCTTCAACTCTGCATTGGACAACTTCGGCGCGTTGGCAGCGCCCTCAGGCTTATCTTTCTTCTCCGTAGTTTGTTTCCCATCCACCCCCTTCTCCTCATCCTTCTTCTTCTCAACCCCACCATTCATCGCCGCAGAAGGAGAACCAGAAGTCGCGGCCGCACTTGCTCTGTCACCTTTCTTCGTTGATGACTCACCTCCGCTCAATTGCGGCACACTGGAATTCACAACGCCCTGTGGAGCCCACATAATTGCATCAGTGCGTAAAATTTCCTTGTCGACAGCGATATTGCCATTAGAGTTCTCCTCGGCGGTGGTAGCGTGGTGACGATGGTGCTGAACGGCGGATTGAGTCATGTGTGGAGCTCTCGGCGGTCGTGACTTTTTGGATCGGAAGATCCCCATCAACTTCCTCCGCGGCCATCTCAAACACCTGCGCGACAATGCGACCGCTGCCCTGCCAAACCCGTTTTTCTGTGTGGATTCAGTCATTCTGAAAGCCAGTTTCTTCTGTCGGAAAGCAGGTAGGGAGAAATAAAATATCAATAAGATACTCAGGAGCCATAATATTTGTGTGCCTGATATAGGAGCCATTTTCTTTTCCTTTCACTGTTTGCTTCTTCCTTTCATGCCTTATCAAGTTTCATTATTGAGGGACTGTCACTAAAACTGAGAATGATTCATACTAAGGATTAGGCACACTGCTACTGCATATTGGCTGCTGTGATTTCAGTCTGGACCGGCCTTCACTGCCCTCATCCAATGAGTTGGGCAGCGTGCAACCAATTCTTCAGCATCCCAATTTTGATATGTGAACATTTTAACCGCTCTGCAGAAATAAATAGAGTCAAGAAACAAACAGTGTACATGCCAGCAAGAAGTAGAAAATCAATGTCACACAAGAAGTATTTTCTTATCCTGTGATAAATAGAAGGAAGAATGACTGATCATACAACATACAAGGTCATCGCTGTCCTGACAAACCTGACCCACCTAGAGTATCAGAAGCATAAGAATATCTCAAGAAAGTCATGCATAAAAACGTCGTTCTTCAGTCGAAAATGGAAAATCAGTTCACTCATCCGAAACAAAGCCCATGCGCTCGCAAAACTTCCGTCCAAACTCCAAGTCCTCGGGATTCCATGGGAAAACTCCAAGCCAATTAATCCGTCATCTATTCATCGAAACTTCAGAAAGTGTTTTGCGATCCCCGCGACTCCGTCGTTTTACGCCGAACCTTTCACAATCGTCGGCCAGCTTACGTCGGAAGAAGCTTAGGTCGGAAAGAAGATCCTCCATCTCGGCCTGCACCTCGACATCCAGTTCGCTGATGGAATCCTCCCAGATAAGATCCGGTGGCTCTTGTGGTGCGGTGTTTTCTTTGTCTCGATCCTTCTCGCTCTTAACCTCTTCCTTAGCTGATGCTAGAGCGGGGCTGCTATTCCGATTACGCCTCTTGATCACTTCAACAGGGGGTATCGGATTCTTCAAACTGTCCAATGCAAGACGCAAATGAAGCCTTAGAGCTTCATTTTCGGTCTGAAGCTGTCGAATCTTGTTTTCACTGACCATTTTGGTTTCTTCCATCAGTCTTTGGAGCTTTGTCACTTGCTTTTGGTATTCCTCAAGCTTTTCGTTCTGCATTTCCATGTCACGTTTAGAGACGGCTTGCTGGCTGACACTCAATTGAAGTGTGCGAATAGTCTCAGCCATCTCTGCAATCTGTGCGTCTCTCTCTGCAGCTGAGACATGATCTTGGTTGATAACTGCCCGGGTTCGGATGCGCTTGGCTTGGTCGGCGTAGCGGAGTGTTGATAGCGTTTCTTCGTAGTCTGACGGAGCGATACACGCAATCATTGCCGTTTTTGAATTCCCTCCTAAGCTGTCTTTAAGTAGCCAAGTCAAGATAGAGTCACGATATGGAACGATATCCTTATTTTTACGAGCACGTCCAGGTCTATTATCTGCTAATGCAGCTATCACGCGGCCCAATGTGGTAAGCGATTTGTTAATGTTCGACCCTTCTCGTAGCCGCTGCCCAGTTGCCTCGGTTGCTTTCGCTCGTTCTGATCCCGCTAGATCCACCAGTCGAATTCTTGCAGTGCGCTCAATGGTTTCATCAGTGGTAAGATCATGGTGTATTTGTTTCAACATGATAGTGAAAACTGCATGGGATCGCGAGCTAGTATCGTTCATTTTGGTACTTGCGGTCGTCCGGGACGCGTCTCCTTTTCTCATGTAGCGTAACACCTCTGCGAAATTTCGAACGGGAACATCGGTGAGATCTTTCACATATGGCCCGTCTGTGGGAGATTCTCGAATTTTCAGATAGTAGGGCGTATCTGTTCTCGGCACGAGCAAATCGCGAACATGTTCATTGTATACTTCAAAATATGACACTCGAACATGGTACGTCACATCGGGCGACTGGGAATTTTCGATTCGCTGGAAGAGGTCTTCGCACGTTCGGGGGATTAGACCTGGGTTCTCGGGGGTTCCCATCATTGTATAACTCTTTCCGGATCCTGTTTGACCATAAGCAAATATACACGTGTGGTAACCCTCGAAGTTATGATCAAGAAACTCTTCTCCCAGGCAGTTATACACGTCTTCTTGGGTTGCGTAGTGGGGATCGTCTTCATCATGCGACCAAAAGGAATTATCAAACGTAAATGTCTTATCTTCGACCACCTTGCTTCGACTTTGCACCTTAGAGGTTTGGCCTTGAGCTCCAGACGGTGCCAAGAGCGTTGTGCTCTGAGTAGCCGGGTTCATATGAACTAAACAGTGCGCTCCACGTTGTATCTCTGCAGTTTATCGGAAAAGAAAGCATTAGATATTTCCGAGAAATGGGACGATTATTCCAGAGCGCGGACATACCCCTCGGTAAGAACCCTCTGACTCTGACAACCACCTTGACGTTTCCTCCGCCCCCGCCTCCATTCATGGGAGTTCCAGGCCTGGTCGCGGGCGCTATTATTCTCTCTTTCGATCGCAACGACGGGCTCGACGCAGTTGACCTAACTCCCGCCACGGACGCTGATGTGAAAGAAGCCATGCTCGGCGTAAAACTTCCATATTCGGGCGGGTAGTTTGACGAGGAATGCGACAAAGACGGTCTCGGCGGGAGGTGGGCAATACTATTGTAAAAGCGCGGGTCCAAAGACATGTTCTTTGTGTTTTTTAGCATCCAGTCAAGCTGCAGAGCAATGTCGCGATGTCGACAGAGATAATTATAAAACATACGATCGAGGGGGTACTGAGGAGAACGGCTAGAGGTTCATTATCCAACACTCCTGGGTTTTGTTTTCTTGGGCGAGCCTGCGAAGCAGCTTTAACTATTGCCGAAAATGCACAAGTGATGCTAGAAAGTGTTTCAATGTTTTGATATCTTCATGCTCCTGTGTAACTGTGAAGGGACTTGGGCGGCCGCTCCAGCTCCCGTCGAACTGCTGGTCCAGACGGGTGTTGTTGTGAAACTGCTTGAAAAGGTTAGCGTGTGCCTTGAGCCCTTAGCTAGTGCAGGCTAGGCCAAGTGCAATTTAGAGTGGTTGGAAAACAGTGTTATCCTCGCAAAAGTACTCGCAGGAGAAATATCCCATAGAAATTCAAGACACTGCGCAACTCGGATCTGTTAGTATGTTTTCAGCTTGCTTATGTTTGTTAAGGAGCAAACTCACAAGAGAGTAGCTGATGTGGGCGTGATTATCAGTTCGGGCGTACAGGACTATATCTTCAATCAGTGTGAAAACAGAATCCATTATCTCTTGTAAAACATGGTGAGGAGGGGAAAGGTTTCAGAGACAAAGAGAAGAGGATCCAAACAATGTATATATGAGACCCAGCCAACTCTGTTGCCGTCCTGCGTGATTATGGAAGGAGTGTGTGTGCAGCCCTACAGAGTACAGCCTTGCCTATGGAGCACTCCATATTTATTCTCCCTGTCATTTTGTGTGTGCACTACTATGGCCTCGCGCCCAGCATAAACAAAATAACAACAGCTTATTCCACTCGCTTCTTATTGTTCTTCTTTAGTGTGGCAGTGTCTCCATCCTCAAACAGCAACTGCGCTTTGTACCATTTCGCCACCCACAAGTGAATTGAGTTTGGCTGGCCGGCGAGTAGCCAGTCCAATGACGAAATACAAGGCCGGCAGTGTTGCCATAGCAACGATCAAGCTCCGAAACCCACCCGACAGCCACTACCAGCCAAGGAACCATTCGGTACTCTATGATCCCGACCTAACATCGTTTTTCTACTCCGTAGTACAGTGCCTCTTAGATATTGAGTCAGGTGGTTTAGAAAATGTTCGAGCAACAAGCCAGAATTCACCCAGCCAGTTTGATTTTCTTCCGGCTATGCATAGGTAATTATGCTGCCAGTCCATGACAAAAAACCCGAAGACAGGTTTAAGAGGAGCTTATGCCCGCCGGATATTATCATCCAGCCTTCAAGTTACAATTCTTTATTTTCGTTAAAGAAAGGATAAAGAACTTGGCACTGATAGCAAGTATATGTATGAATTTTAGGCTCGCACAAACAAGAAGCAGTGCCTATCCCCATGCTGTTGAAGGGAGGATCAAGCCATGTTCGCCACAGCAGGGTCCACAAGACAACTTTGTGTGACACCCTTTTTGCTTCCACAGCTTTCATATACAGTAGATACATCACCTGTTTGATGGGCACACTCAGAAGTAGAATGTGAACCTCTGTTTGCAACTGCTTCTGCAGATCTCTTATGATTAGTTGGGGGAGGAATTTTTGTTCTGATACCCAGGGATAACATCCAACCAAACTTGAAAACAACTGAATATTTAAGTTCAACCATATTCCCTATGGAATTAGCGTACAGATAATGTATTTGGTGATAAAATTAAATATCATGCAGCGCTGCATTTTATTCCTACCTTTCAAAAGTTGTGAGGTTATATTCTGATAGAGATCAACTTGATGCTTCACAGCAAGGAAAATAAGCACTGGTTACATCACAAATAGGACGGCTTAAAAGCACCAATGAGCCCTTCTCAACGCGCAGTTTTTAGCGGTCTACTATCTATGCCACGCACTCGCTCAATTAAATTCATTTTGAAGACACCTTGGCCTGGGACACAATCGGGAGGAAGCCTTGATATATGCAGGACTTCACAGCAATTTCCTTACATTTCCCTGACAACCAGATGAACTTATCCTCCCTGGATATACTATGGCAAGCAACCTAGAGACTCCCTGTGGCCTAGTTGTTAAGTCAACAACCCTACGGGACGGGATGCATCAGGGGCACTCTGGGTTCGAATCTCGGCAAGGACGTATCATCAGGGTTAACGACTCCCCTGGTGGGAACCTTTTTGTCATGTCAATTTTCTTTCTCTTGTTTTGATAGCATTGAAGGATGCAATCTTTTCTTGATCTCTTCTAGCTTTTCTATTAAAGTGCCGTTTAACTGGGGCCTTTAGACGGACACAATCTCAGTCTCCTTACCTCGAACATAAAATTGAAGTTATTGGTGACAACATACACTCTGGAGTGGCAATCATATCCTTTGTTTTCTGCTCTATATTAGGGGGCATTACATCAATCCCTCCTCTAAGAGTTGACTCCCAATCTCTTTGATAAGTTTCTCTCCCGAAAACGCCTCGACATTTGACTTGTCTAGCACAATGTTTCCAGCATCCATCGCTCGACATAGCTCTAAGATATCCCCATCCATGGGCGCACAATATACCAGGAGACCCAACGACAAAAGCAAGCCACGTAAATTGTCAGAGCTCTCTGATTCCTTGCGGATAGCCTCAAGCAGCGATGCAACAAGTTCTACCTGAGTGCTCTCCGTTAGCTTATCCGGGTGATCCTGTAGCCTCTCATTATGGTTTAGAGCAGCGAGGTTGTAAATGAACGAAGCCGCTGCCACACGAAGATTTCCGTGCGAATCGAGTAAGCAAGCAGTTGCAAAATTTATGCAGGTGTCACGGAGGGCGTCGTGGGATAATAGTTGGTCAGGGTAAAGCTGGGAGGTGAAAAGGTTGCACATTAGTTGTTGCATGACCAGTTGATGATTGTAAGGGCAATTTGATGGGTCTTTGGCACGATCCAGCAGGGTCAAGAGAGTCTTGTGGTCTTTCTCTTCGGCGAAGAACCCGCTCACTCTTGGATCGATGAAGGCGGTTCGCACCAGGTCGACCACGGCGAACTGGATCTCCGAAGGCAGTCGGGGGAATTTTGTCTGGACAAAAGCTGCGAGGGATGACAAGTTTGGGATGGGCGGTTTTGCAGAGTTTGGTTTGCTTTCTTGCTTAAGGAAAGTAACCAATTCTGCCAAGATGGGATCGTTGGCCGCAGGCCCAACTTTTTGAACGAGCTTATCCAAAGGTGGAACTTTCCTATAGCAAATATATGAATCAATCATTCTCTGTAAGCTGGGGAGCTTCATGTTCGTATGAGGATGCGGTGGCCAGGCCATCTGAACCAATAGGCGAACATTACTGCGAAGTCTACCCTCGTCGGCGCCGCTCCATTCATCATCCTTTTGTCCCTTTAAAAACGTCATGAAAGTGGGCGTAGCCCGAACATTATACGTTGATGAAATCTCATAAGCATAATTTATGTCCACTTTGATCAATGTGGCTTTGTTGCCAACCTCTTCAGCGAGTTGATCATATGCCGGATACACAAGCTTGCAAGGGGGGCAAGTTGACGATGTAAAAAATATCACGGCACACGAGTTTTGCGCTTGCAAGAGTAAATTCTTAAGCTCGTTGAGAGTTGTAACGTTATGAACTCGCCCACTCGGAGACGGAACAAGTGCTTGTGGTGTTGATGGGGTCATTGGTTGGCCGGGCTGAGGTGGAGGTCCTTGTGCTGGGCCTCGGAGCATATTGTCAATGTATGGCTTCATCATCTGCCCGAAAGGCGAATCCAAAAATGTTTCTGGTAGATTTCTGATATACTCTGGAATGCCTTTGCCAACCAAGAACATGGCCAAATCATGTGTAAAGTTGTTGCAGTTTCGCAGAAATAAGTCATAGGACTAAGAATTATCAGGTTCGTTCTCGCATAAAGGAAGATTCGAGGAGAATGAAAGGATTAGACAGATCCATACGTCTTCTGTATAGGTCCTTGCTAGGGAATCCATATACTCATTAATCACCTCCATCGGAAGTTCTGACCTCCCGAGGAGAAGGGTCTCGATTGGTTGGCCATGATGCGTCGATCCAGGGGCGGCTTGCTGAATTCCCCGACCGAAGTAATATTCTACTCCAGCGAAAACAAGCGAGGTATGGTATATTGCGTCTATCTGTGTTCCAGTTATTTGTAGAGAGAGCTGGTTGATGAGACGATATCAGCGCAAGCTGCACATCAAGGATTTTGTATGAATATCATAGAACATACATTTCGAGCAAGCCCCTAGAATCAAGTCAGCATCTTCGGAAAAAGCGGGATGCGTTTCAGTGCCGGAGGCTCTCACATTTGACAGGTCGTAGATGTATAAGGTCACGTCCATTGCGATAACTGAATTATATAACCAGATTGGATGGTGTCCGAGACTAAAGTGATAGTAAACCTGTCAAAATTATTTAATCATAAATCTGAGGGATAGAAAATCAGTGTTTTAACACATCTGAGTGAGAGATAGACGGAGCATCAGGATATAGCTGGGTTCTTTGGAGTGATGATGCTCCAAGGCTCCGACTGCCTTACGTCAGTACTGAGAACCCATGAGCACCACCGGCACGAAGCATCCAAATTCCGCACAGGATCCATTGCATAATCATCCCTTCACCATGGTAAGTACCCATGCCGTATCAAACCTCTCTACTCCAATAGGTGTACAGTAAGTCCTCCTAATCACTAATGTTTTCCCATCAGCCACCAAAACGTCGCGGGGCGACATCCGCCCCCGCCCAAAGCCAGCCCAAGAAAGCTCGACTCTCGAAGCTTGCAAAAGAGAATGATATCACCGCTGAAGAAGAAACTGAAATAAAAGAGGCGTTCCGCCTCTTCATTGTTGACGATCTCCCTAGCGATGCTGAGGAGTACGCCGATGAGGAGGAGGGTGTGATCCAAACGGAAAATGTGCGACGGGCGCTGGTGTAGGTTCCTCTTCAAACTGGTGTATGTTTACAATCTCTAAGCTAACGCGCGCATAATGCACATTAGGGCCCTCGGCTTACCTCCCCGATCTCAATCCGAGCTTAACTCCATTCTCTCTGCCGTCGATCCATCTCGCACAGGATATGTCTGCTACGAACCCTTTCTCTCTGTATGCGCTCTGAAACTACACGCTCGCACCGAAGAGGCTATATCGCAGGAAGTAGAGCACGCGTACCATCTTTTCACGCGCGGCACGGATGGGCCTATTCTCCTGTCTCATTTACGACGTGTTGCAAGGGAGTTAAAAGAAGAAGTGAGTGACGAGCTGTTGCGAGATATGATTCGGGAAGCGAATGGAGGGGAAGGGCTGCATGCAGGTGTAAATGTTGACCAATTCAAAGATGTTATGAAGAGGGCGGGCGTATTTTGAGAGATCTCTGCGCGGCGTGCCGGTTCTAATATTATGGGTCCGGTATTAGGTTGCACGGGTGCATTCGATTCGGAGTTGGGTTTCGCTCAAGTGAAAGGCGATGGCGTTTGGCATCAGGCTAGAGGTTTGATTACTGAAGTATTGTACCGATTACAGCGCATTTTGGATTATAGCAGAATGCACCTTTGCCCAAGGTCTTCGATATCGAATGGCTGGCGTGGCTTCTCTATGTACGGAGGAGTTATACAGTTATTCCGGGCAGGGAGGGAGTCGCGATCCCTAACTCAAATTCGGCACGGTCTATAAGCTGGGAAAGTAGGCGAAAAGCAATCTCCTTCAAAGCAGTTCTTTGTGATATTCGAACCCATCACGACATCACGCATGGCTCGTTCCAGGTCACGTGATGGGTATCCTCCACTTCCAATTCTGGAGCGCAGACCAAACGACTCCAACTTTGAAGCTGCGGGGCGAAAAGGAAGATGTCGAGACCGCAGCTGCGAATACTTCCATGACCAGCTCTTTAATTGGCCGGCTGTTCCGCTCCGGCGGCAAAAGAGGCAGGCTGCGGGCAAGCCCGTTTCGGCTCGGTCTATGGGTCGCAGGCACCTTTTGTGCCGCGAAAGTCTTTAACGAGCATGCTTACGAGCTCCAACTTTCCTCGGGCCCGTCAATGTACCCGACAATACACTTCAAAGGCGACTACCTATTAATCTCGAAGTATTACAAGTACGGAAGGGGAATTGCGGTCGGCGATATCGTTACCTTTAAGCACCCATCCTATGTGATGATGGCGGCGAAGAGGGTGGTCGGAATGCCGGGAGACTATGTGTTGGTTGATCCGGAGGATCATGGAGGCCCTTTGGCGAAGATGATCCAGGTAAGACGTTTTTGGGTTCAATTACAGCGAATTGGAAGTGCTGATGGCGCGTGGTTGTTGGATAGGTTCCTGAAGGTCATATCATGGTCACTGGTGATAACCTACCTTGGTCAAGAGATTCGAGAGATTTCGGTCCACTCCCAATGGGTCTAATCTCGGGGAAAGTAATTGGGAAAATGTGGTGGCCACTCAACTATCAGCGTATGGAGAACTCGCTGAAACCCGTCGAAGACATCTCAAGGAGCCAGCCATGATCGCCGCCCATTTCTTCGGGGATATCGTGGGAACCGTAGGATCATGAAGTACCATTTTAAATACATGGCACAACTATCTATAAAGAAGCCTCTCTGTTTAAATAGACCTATTGTACAATATGAAATCAGACGAAAAAAAAGCGTCCCAACAAAAACACGCCGACCCCAAAGCCGCTCATTACCGAGATTATCTAAAAGAAGCCGGGTTTCTACGTTTGTACGGTAGAGGCTCAATCCTCTTTCGTCTCAATTCAACATCTGCACCCTCAATTCCAAACTTATTCATCACATCGGCCATATCCTTGTCCCACTGGGTTCTAAACAAATGGGCACCGATTGGCTTGAGCTGATGTCTTCCCTGAATGCTTCGAAGAGAGAAATTCTCTCGTTGAACCTTCTCGGCGACGATTTTGTAGTCCAAAGCTTTCTGATCCTTCTGTTCCAGAATAAAGATTGAGAGCCGGTGGTAAGGACTTCCTTTCTGCGCAGTCGGCGGGAACCACGGGAGGACAACCTGTGACTCTGCGGATAAGTCGCCTAGGGAAACAAAGGTGTCGGTGGGGTTGATGGGTACGTTGACAGCAAGGAAATGGCAGTGACTGTCAAAGCCGTCGGTTTCGAGATTTGGCACGTCGGGATCTACGACTGCGATGGTGACCAGCTTTTCTCCTTTGATGAACGATTGTATTTCAAGTTTGGGCGCCACGGAACTAACACGAGAATTCACAAATTCGCCGGGCTGTACGCTCTTTCTGCCGAATGATAACTTCACATCAACGACGGGGTCAATGTGGGGGAGCACGTCTGGAATTACTTTCATTTGTGTAATTCGTTGGATGAGAATCTCCCGTCGGTATTCTCTCCACTTCTTGTTGGCTAGGAATCGATAGATGGGCTTTGTCATATCCCCTACGCTTTGTTAGGACATTTAATTGGGCAATTGCTCCAAATAAAGGGAAACCTACCCAATCCATCTTCAAACCTCCTCTTAATCAGAGGGTCATTGATGTCCGCAAGGATCTTCAATTTCTCGAGATATCGCTCCGTGCCCTTGATTCTGGACTGCTTCAGAGCCTCTCCGCCAATATCCTCGGGCTTTACTGCACGTAACTTCTCCAACCGTGCCCGTTCTATTTCTATCTGCTTCAACTTTTCCGCTCTGTCCTCTATGAGAACTTTTCGAGCTTCTTGGAAACATTGGTATGGCAGCTGTTCGAATGGGATATTAAGGGAACCCTGAAGCGCCGCTCTTCGTCTGCGCGAACCAATAGGAAATTTTCCAGCTCGGATGAGTCTTCGTTCCAGTCGAGGGCTCGTCACTAAAGCGGGATCTGGCGCTCGGTAGAAAGGCTGCGTTGGAGTTTCGGCTTGCGCTTCTTCGAACGGTATGGCGGTGGAGGTGAATGAGCGGGTCGATTGGAGCTGTAACGCTGCAAGGCCACCTTTATAGGATTGGCGCACACATTGCAGCAATTGCTTTGACGCCAACTCGCAGTGCGCCATGGTTGTACTGACGAGAGAAAGTGAACTGGTCAATCAGAATAGGTGGTGTTGAGAAGGGTTGGAAGGGCCCAAGATTTTTCGTGTCCCGAATTGGGTTCACTAGCGCCAAAATTCGAAATCCGCAAAATCACCTTGCGACGAACGACTCGATCGTTCATCTTCAGCATTCCAATCTGCCTGAAGCGACGAAGGAAATAACTAGGCTCCGGTCTATATCATAATGAGCGGCAGCAGAGCTCTTGGGGCTTTGAAGTGGCTAAGCCGCAGTTGCAACTGGGCGGGAGCCCTCGAGCCTCCCAAAGTACGCCTTCTAACCAGTTCGTGTGCTCTTTCATAGCTAACGGGAATTTCAGCAATGTCTCCCAAAACAATTATCACGCTCAATGGCGACAGAGACGCAAATCCCGGCCGGTACGCCCTTATCAGCTTTTGCTGATGCCCACGTAGCTTCTACATCTCCAAACGATATCCCTACACCGATCTGGAAACCTACTCCTGCCATTGCCACTCTCTACGATTTTCCTACGATGGAACCACTTCGGTTCCTTGAATATAAGCATGAGCACCTGCTTCTCCCTCTTCGCCGCGACATATTGCACCGTGCTGTGGTCTATGAGGGTGACATGGCACGCCAAGGCACTGCAAACACCAAATGGAGAAGTGAAGTACGAGGAAGCCGCAAAAAGATCCGCCCACAGAAAGGAACTGGTAGAGCGCGTTTGGGAGATAAGAAGTCGCCCATGTTGAGGGGGGGTGGTGTTGCACATGGTCCCCACCCGCGAGACTTTTCAACAGAACTGCCACGAAAGATCTACGATAAGGCATGGCGGACTGCACTAAGTTATCGATACCGCCGGGGACAATTAATCATTGTTAACGACAATATTTCTATGCCCAAGGATACGACTGTGCATTTCTTAAAGGAGATTTTCGATACGCATAACTGGGGAAAGAAATTTGGGCGATCGCTCCTTATTACGGAGGTGAAGAAGGAGAAGCTCTTTAGATCCATAGCAGAAATCAGCGAAGAGGCAAGGGTGCTTGATCGTGAGGACGTGGATGTGAAGGATTTACTCGAGACCGGACGATTGATCATCGAGAAGATGGCACTGGACCGGATGCTCGCCAACCATTCCAGCGATTTGCAGAGCAGGCCAATCAAAGCGTAATTGGAAACATATTATTTGTACAATAGATTTTGCTTGAAGTATCTATTATGCCCTTTGGATTTTGATTTGATATTGTCTCTTTTGGCGGCGGAATAGGACGTGACAGGAGTTATTTCTCGAAACAAATGTAGCGCTTTTTTAAAATAAAAAAGGAAAAAAAAAAAAATCTACTGACTTTACACGAATCATTCCTCGCTTATTATGCCTCTTTGGCTGTCATTAATGAGAAATCAATGCGAAAATCAAGTCCATTGATGCGATGATATTGTCCGAGGTCAACCGAGCGGAGAAAGGAAAGCTCTCCAACTTTTTCCCATCACCACCAATCGCCGGGACTGCTCCACTCCGGCTCGAGGGAACAGCATTCGACTTCCTGTCACACCCGCGAGTTTAGTGCTTTCAACTACGTTGCAGTTGATATTGCAGTTTTCCTAATGTCATTAATGTTCCTCCGATCTAGTTGTGTCCGGTCATCGCCGCTGAGCTGGTTCTCGCGGGCTTCTTCAAACACCATGCCCTTGAGAACGAAGGTGGTGAACTCAGCTTTCGCAGGACAAGCACGGGTGAGTAATCGATGGAGATCAATTGTCTTTTTCCCATCATGAGGCTGGACTTTGCTGACTGACTGGACTGGTCTCAAGATGGCGACCACTGCAGCAGAGATTCCTAGAGAACTCCCCGGCGATGAGCCCGATGATGTCGTATTCAACAATCTCTACGGTATTCGATCAATCGAGCTTAACAGACCGAGGAAATTGAACTCTCTCAATGGCTCTATGGCGCGAAAAATTATTCCCAGACTAAAGGTATGCATTTTACCTTATGTGCATGCGCGATGCGACACTAAAGTGATTCTACTAGGAATGGGAAAAATCGCAGCTGGCGAACATAATCATGATTTCCGGAGTCGGAGAAAAGGCATTTTGCGCTGGAGGTGATGTTGCTACTCTTGCGTCGCAGAATACCCAAGGAAAGGAAGGACAGCAGAAATCAAAAGACTTCTTCTCCCTCGAATACAAGCTCGACCACCTCATTGCGACATATTCGAAACCGTACATTGCGATCCTAGATGGCATTACAATGGGTGGTGGTGTTGGGCTTAGCGTCCATGCTCCTTTCCGGATCGCTACTGAAAAAACCGTCTTCGCCATGCCTGAGACGACAATCGGATTTTTCCCTGATGTTGGAGGATCTTTCTTCCTGCCACGCCTTGATGGAGAAATTGGAACCTACCTCGCGTTGACCTCGGAGAGGCTCGTGGGTGTCCAGGCCTTCTATTCTGGAATTGCTACGCACTATCTCCACTCAAGCTCCCTCAGCAACCTCACGGCACGTCTCTCTGAACTGGTTTTCAAGGATTATGCTCCATTGAAAGAGCGTCTAGCCCTGATCAACCGTACGATTTCGGAGTTTTCTACGGGTCTACCCGACGAGAAGATCTTGCTAGGTGGAAGTCTCCGCGAGTCCATTGACCGCTGCTTCTCAAAACCTACAGTCGAGGAGATCATTGCTGCCCTTGAAGCTGAAACTGATAACAAGGAATGGGCACAGAAGACAGTGGAGACACTAAAAGCACGCTCGCCGACTGCGCTCAAAGTCACTCTCCGCCAACTTCGTGTTGGTCGTACATGGTCCATTGCTGAAACCTTCCAGCGTGAAGAAAAAATTGCTGGCCGATTCATGGAGCACCCAGATTTTGTGGAAGGGGTCACCGCGCGCCTCATCAACAAGCCCCCAACCAAGCCCAACTGGAAACCAGCCACCCTGGAAGAAGTCACCGAAAAGGATGTGGATGAGTTTTTCCGTATCCAGCCGGGTGAACAGCGTCTTCCACTACTTAACCCCGAAGGAGATTACAAGGAATATCCGCACTCGATATTTACGCTCCCTTCTGAGGCCAGCATCCGAGAATATGTACGCCAGTCCGCTGCTTCCAAGACAAAAACCATCAAGGAATTTGAGAACAGACACGCAGGAAAAGATGGTGTTAGTACGAAGGTGTCTGAAGTACTTGACCGGAAAACAAAGGCTATCGCAAATGGAGGGAGAGAATGGGTTGACGAAGCATGATAGTTTGTGGTAGTGTATATATTGTTGGCGCTCATGGGTAACGTGGGCTGAATAGAACTTTTTGTAAACTTATTCTGGTAAAGAAAGTCAAGCCACTCGTTTCTGAGCACACTTTTACACCCCTCGTAGTTCGATACTCTTTAATGGAGTCGACAATCCTTCTAACGGGACAGGAGGGGGAGCTGTTTGCCTGCTTTGCACCCATAACTTACGGAGCAAACATCAATTACGCGCATGGTGCAAACGGCTCGCCGGAGCACACAGCATAAAAGCAAAATATTTTCCTCTCGAAACATCTCAGCTTCCAATCCCCATTTGGCTGCACGGTTCAACCACCTCACAAATTGTTCATTACTCACTGCCTATGGCTTGCAATGTTGGTAATCATGTGCTGCACAAAGGCAAGCGCAATCATGATGAAGCTTATATTGACAATTGCAAACATTGATGCTTGGGCATAATTGAATCTTTCCGTCCGCAACTCGACCACCTCAGCTCGAGCTAAGCTCATCACGAGCAATTAGAAATGAGTGAGAATTCCTAGTCACTGTCACTCCGAGCGCCACCTCCATGCACAACCCTTCACGAGTTCCACGGCCTTCCCCCCCCCCCCCCCAAAACCTTTTATTTTCCCCTCTACGCTTCTGCATATGCTAGAGCTCGTCGTTGCCGAAAAAGAATCTTTTTCCCTGAGCGTGCGAGTGTGGACGAAGAAGCAAAAGTATACTATGGAGCCACATACACAACAGACGGAGTGGACTTTGCCCAAAGAAGTCAACCTGGTTTCTGGTTTATTTCAGTATAGACAATGAGAAACTGGGCGGACTGAGTGGGAGACATGATGTTTGGGTCTTTAGGAGTTTCTATCTGTACAGAGTAGACCGAGATTTATGATGCTCAGTGCATTGGCATTATGAGACACGATACTCTCAATATTAGATAAAAGTAATAAGAGAATTCATGATAATTCCTCCCATCTAGTGTATTATGCAAATTTCATGCATCCTAGGGAGCATATTTTGCGTAAAGTGGAGGTGAGCTTTTTTCATTCCAAGTATACTCCGTTCCGAGAGCCAGGCGATAGTAATTCATTTTGTTTCCATGCAGGGCGAGCCTTACTTCTTCCAAAATGCGTCGGCATCAGGATGGATCTTCCACCCTGGCCTCACTCCTTTTCTCTCCTCCCGCTTCTTGTAAATATCAATGCCAAATCTATCTTTCGTACTGTCCGCCAGCTGCTGAATACCACCTGGGCACGCCTTCTTCACCGCTTCCTCAGACGTGAAACTACCCATAAGTTGAGGCGCACCCATGGGCACCGCGTCACCTCGGTCTACTTGCCACATGTGATATGTTTTGCCATAAAGAGGCACCACGTTTTCCATTTCTGCGAGTTCGGTTTTGTCCCAGACGGCTGCGGGTGTACCTGAATATGTTTAAAACGATCATCCCATTAGCTACTCGCTTCTCCCTGATAAGGGGTACGTGGAAAGGAAAGCTTTACCCTTTGGAGCCGACATAACGAGCATTCCGCTCTTGACTTCGAATTCATGGGAATGCCATAATTCGCGCTCTTCCTTGGGAAGCGATTCGTATATTTTTGGCGTGATCATGTACTCCACTCCAATGAGGCGGGCATTTTTTTCAGGGGAGTCATAGATGAGACACTGCCTGAAGTCTACAAGTTGTATTCCGGCCATTAGTTATGAATTCCAGGACGCACGGAAAGATAAGGTTTGTACTGACCTGCATTTACGTGGCTACAATAGTGATTGGCCTCCACGCATCGGGTGGGATCGTCTGCATACACATGATATGCATGTAAATGGGCGCATATTTGGTTGACAGGCTTGAAGTTTTGAATCATCGATGCTCCGATTGTGAGCGCTTTGTTTTCCAGTGTCATAGGTTCGCCGGGAACCTCTTTTGCGCCTGCTTGTGACATGGCTGTTGCGACGAATCTGTGTTTCCTGCTGAAAGAGAGGTTAAGATATTTGATCTCTGGGCAAAAGCGACCATTCCCAGTTGTCGCTATTGGTATTGAATCTATAGGGTACTCGTTTATATATCTTCGCCCAAGCATACTCCATGAGAGTGACGTCATAAGTGGCCTATCAACAGGTTACAGCAAGTGTCAAACTCCATATATTTAGCCAAATACAATACACTGAGGACAAGATCAAAATCAAGATATAACAAATTCCCCACCTGGTCGCCGAGCTTTGAATCTTACGTTTGTGATGCGGTACTCGGGAGCCTTGCTCACCTTCCGGGGTTTAAGCCGTCCGCGTTGTTGATATTGATTATTTATGTCACGGATCTACGCAGCATTCTTCATTTCTCTCAAGGCATTCATAACATCCACAGGGCTTGTCATCCCTGTAGCCTTTTGCATCTCGGGGTCCTGTGAAGCGGAATACGTCAGTCGCCGAATACCATGGGGGGGTGTATCCTAGCTACGCACCGTGACTCTCATGAAAACGTTATGTAACTAGAAGACCTTGAGTTAGTCACTACACTAAAAGAGGCTGGCTCGAGGAGAATGCACGCATGGGCATACCTTTTCATCCCCAATAGTAAATTTACCCTCCGTTCGCGAATTATTTTCGCAATAGACCTGGAGCTTTTTGATCGGCTCTGACTGCGATACCGAGAGACAGAACTTCACGTTGGATTTGGTATACTCGTGACCGGGCTACGCGAGGATGATCTTGATCAGCATCTGTCCGAAACAGAACTGAATCCGATCCTTCCTAGATATCATTTCCGGTACCAGCGGTGTAAACTTACGTAGACTTTGGTATCGTCTGGCAGCGTTGCAAGAACCTCATTAAGAGCCCTGTGCATCTCTTGGGCGTTGCCCTCGAAGAATCGGCCACATCCTAGCATCATGGTAAGCATTCATTATCCTCAACCGATAGCGCGCAACCAACCGGCAATAAATAGAGTATCTCCGGTAAATACCACCCGCTGGTTTCCGTCTTCAGCAAAGTAGCAGATACTATCTTGCGTGTGACATGGGGTATGTAGGGCAGTCACAGTTATACGATCGCCAATTTTGAATTTTTCACCATGAGCTGGAGTCTTGGTGACCATCTTGCAATCCTTGCCACCGATCACGTCGAGATTTCCAAATTGCTGAAGCTAATATCCGCAATCGGAATTTGTCAATTTGATATTGCACCAAGAAGGCAGACTAGACTTGAGCACGGAAATAACACTTACAATTCCATCGTTCCCACCAGCATGATCCCAGTGGCTATATAGTGGTCAGTTTTGTCATAACATGAAGCCCATGGTGGTGTATATGTACTGACTGATGTGTATTGATAATGGCTTTCAGATTAATCTTGCCGGAATCGATATGTGACTTCAGAACGGGAATTACCCTAACCTCTCCATCCGTCAGCATTCCCGATACTGCCGAATGCACCTCCAACAGCCAAAAAAGGATGCCTTAAACATACTCCGGCGGATTTGCGGGATCGACGATCACAGCATCCTTAGTCGGCTCATCGGATATCAGATAGGCATAGTTGTTGCCCTTGCCAGTCCCTGTCGCATGGTCCCGTTTCCATCAGCGAAGCCAACACTTAGGAATCCAAAATGAATTCCTACATAATGATATGGCCATACAACGCATTTTCTACCGGAGGAAGACATACACATGGGAATCGATTCGATATGCATTTTGCGTTTGGATACCAATCTAGATATACCTGAAGATGATATCAGCTCTATAAAGGGCCGTCTTGAAAGCATGGGTTTGCGGAGATGATATGCGATTATACAATTGAAGGAACGGGCAAATACTCCGTTAAGTACGGAGTGCTGTGGGAGAATGTTGTGGGAGATGCGGGGTGACGTCTTTCGCGTTGAGAGCTCGGCTCGGCTTCCTGGCTAGCTTGGGCTTGCCAAGCCAATTTCGGAGGAAGCTTCAACACCAAACTGCGAGGAGCACTCCGTACTTGCGACAGTCTTCGATGAAATCCAACAAAAGGGTTACTGATTCGTTTGTTCTATATTGCTCATACCTCGTAGCACTTGGGTTTGGCATTCTCAGTTCACTAAATTGAAACTTCTGAAATGCAAGCAGGTTCATACATCACAAACCTTGCTATATTTCCAGCAGATGGTTATTTAAAAATACATTTTCCACGGCCGGGCGACTCGGCTGTTCTCCAGTCGTTCAAAACGTTTCACAGCTGGTATACTTCCGGCTCGGTCATCCGCAAGCGCGTTCTACTCCATGTAGACATCGGCCAAATCGGATATCTCAAGCATTTGGTATGCCTAGCACTCGGATCCCTCATTTATCATTACAATGTTGCTCAGGTTCATATTCCTGGAGCATCAGCGAAACCTTAGAATTGCTAATCATTTCTGCAACAGGGAATCTTTTAGTTATTGATAATTACCGTACCTTGGGGAAGGAATTATACGCTGCATAAGCAGCAGAACGGCAACCCTAAACCCTGGTACCCCGTTAAAACGATAGCTATGCCCTAGACCACGCCTATAGGCCAGAAAATGCGCTTTCGCTCTAAAGTCCAGCCATGATCTCGTAGGCTGGTCATATGTAGCCCAGTTTCCGATTCGTGTCTTGTGGCTTCTTGAGAGATGCGCGCGGATCTAGCAGATAACTCCGACCAGTCTCTGCAGCTCTCGATTAAATTATGAAGGCGATCCCTCCAATATCCCCCTCCATTTCGGCAAACTGCTTGGGCATAGGATAGAATCAAATATTGTTTTCGAAGCAGAGCCCACGAGCTCGACTTCAGCACGTGTTCAAACCATCCGTAAACGCCCTCTCTGTAGGGATCTTTTGCTGCATCCAATGACATAGAAAGAGACAGTAAGTCTGCCATCTCGTCTGCGAATTTTGTCAAGAATGGCGTGTAATGTCGGCATATCTCCTTCAGGAAGTCATCCCATGTGGACAAAATATGGTCCATTCGATCTCCAAGACTTCAAATAGATCAAATTGTTAGCATTAAAAACGCATTGGAGTTTAAGAAGGCGCATACCTCCTTGTTTCCGGTACCAGGACGCCCGGCCGCAGAAGCGCCCTCACAAGAAGCCTATTCCCACCATTTTCGCTCTCACAAATGGCGACGAGCTCACGTATGCTTGATGCCAAATTTAGCTTTCTACTTCCGTCACTCCGTCCTGCCCTGTTCTCTGTGAGAGGTTGTAAAATACCCCAAATGGCATCGCTCAGAGCTTGTTCAGATGAATGTGAATTATCCAGTAGACCCAACTCCGCCGGAATGTTAGCTCCAATCTTCTCCCAGTAGAACTCCCACAGCCACTCAAGCGATCTTTGAGCTGCGTTTCGTAAAACCACCAGGGAGGGGAGTTCGCGATGTGTTGCTTCGTGACGTAATTCCACAAATGACGCCGGTACCCCAAGTGTCATGGCTTTTTGGTACATGGTTTGTCTCCTTCCATGTAGTTTGGAATCTACCAGCCCAGTGATAAATCTGAAACGCTACATTAGCCACAGGCAGACAAATATGAAATGTTCCAATGCGGTAAGCGAATAATAGGTTGATCATTTATCTTACCTACAAAACGCTGATGAATACGTCGCGCGTATCGAAAATATCGAATTCTTGCCTGGGTCATCATGCAAAATCGCGTCCGTCAAAAGCGCCGTCGCCTCCACGGCATGCGGCAGATTTCCTCGGACTTTCCAGACCCATACCTATTTCACGTCAGAACATAGGAAAAGGTAATAGAACTGATAAGCAGCATACAATACTAGAGGCTTTGGGCCGCATGTCGGGTCCCTGGTAACCAGGTGGCGGATAAAATTGATCTCGCACTGCAACGAGCTGGGAGTACTCCTTCCAGGGAGTGAATGTTAATTGCGGCATGTTATATGATTCAATGACAACATTATCTTTTGAGTTTCTTCGCTTATAGGCGATAGAAGCGGGTCTGAACTCGAAAGTGACTCTGGCAAGCGAAATGCTAATAGCGGCAGCTCAGGATCATGGGGTAGGAAGATTGATATGCGAATGAAATGAAAATATGGGTATCAATGCTCTATGCTTTGGAAAGAGAGAAAGAGGGGATAAATGTTAGATTCCGAAAGACTTAAACTTCAAATCTTGGAACGAAATGAAACAACCATATTCAATGTCGTCCTGGGTGTTAGTTGTTGGAGCTCCTTTCCGACCTGAAGGCGTTCTTTGGCATTCTCGCCGAATTTGATGGGCGAAGATAAAGTTTGAATTTAGATTAAAGCTAAAATGCTTAGCCTAACCATCATCTCATTTAAACCAATTAAATGTCGTGCTACGGTAGTGTTATGTAATCAATCAAATTCTTTCTTGCAAATTTTTTTTCCTCTGGAATTTGAACCTGCTCATTATCATCATCATTCAATAAATATACACTGGTGTATCCATGGGTGTTAATAGTTAATATGGTACAAAGACAAGAATAGCTAAGACGCTCATCAAAGCAGCAGCCCATCAAAAATTAGTACGCCTATGAATATTTCGGATAGCAAGGGCGGCTTAAACCAGGTCAAGGATTAGCCAGTTTCAGACTTCGCGTCGTCATCGTCGTCGCTTTCGAGAGGGGGTGGACTGAAAGTCTCCTCCAACTTCAGTCCTTTTCCAACCAGTGGCTCGGCTCTAAACAAAGGACCACCAATGGCACCAATCCTATAATGATTTGGTCTCGATGATTCATCCCACGAGACCGCATCGGGCTCATCATATAAACCAACTCCGACAAGGACCTCCTCTGATTTGTTGGTGCTTTCCGAAGAGAATGATGGAGGGGTTTTCGGTTCAGGAAACTCTCGGTATGAAAACAGTTCTGGCGAGGAAGCCGCGGTAGTATCTCTGGATATCGGAACGCGACAGTTTAGAGGCGTATTTGCGCGTGGTGAATGAGAATACTCAGAGTCGATCGAAGATGATGATACCATAGGTATATATGTCGGCCAGTCAGACTCCGGTTCAGGCTCTTGATAACTCACAGGCTGTTGTGGCGGTAAATAACTGTCAAACGGTGACTGGGTAGAAATCGTTTCGAATTGGGGTTGATTGTTGGCAAGAGCTGACATCTCAGCAAATCCCCAGTCCATGAAGCTGTCGGATGCAGGCGTAACTTGGGCATTTGCTGAAACATCCTCTTTTGTCGTCGGAGGTATTGCCAAAGGGAGAGCAAGTTGATAGCTCGGCATGGGTGCTAGATCGAGACGTGATGCAGTTGCCTTCTGGAGAGCAGCATAAAAGCTTGCCGCTAGCTTGTCACTTTGGGTGGAAAAGCGACGACACGATCCACTCTTGGGCATTATATCTCCTCTCACACAGTTTCGGGGGCTGTTTCCAGCGCTGGCGACCTTAGTGATACGGTTCGAGTGTCTCCTTGCCAGGCCACCGAAATGTACAGGGTACATATATCCAGGACTCCCACTCAAGTCGATAGAAGATATCGTATCAAATTGAGCCATCGTGTCTTGGAAGAAAGTGATAAAGAGGAAGACAGATTTGAAGGAAGAATACAGAGTATTCCTCTTACGATGGACGGGAGAGCAGATAAAGAGAGAAAAAAAGGATGCAAATAGTAGGGTTTATGAGCTAATAATCCTACTTGGATGTGCTGGCCTGCTTCATAATAGGAAAGTCATATCGGCTGGCATGCGTAACATGGAAAAACCGGCCGCTTGGGACTGGACATCATACACAGCTTTGTTAGCCGTGGACAGTGGAGAGTGGGTGCAGTGTTCCCGGTGTTATGTCGTGAAGTTACCATCTCGCAGCCATTATTGACTAGCCTAACAATGCAGTTAGCGCTGGATCTGTTTGACAAGCCGAGCTTCCAGAATGTATCCTTGACTCGCAACTGGATCCCAGCCAGACAAGGTGGTGGAGAGATCAAGGTTTGGAGAACGGAGCAGGCGAAAATGAAAAAGAAAAAGAAAAAGAAAAATTACTTCCTTTGGTAGCGCCAAGTTTGGGTTTGCAGCTAATTTTATTGGGGAAACACCTCCTGCAGGGACAGGAAGCAGGGCCCCAGCCGCTGATGTGCGGGTGATGTTGTAACAAATTGTGATGGGCCCTCCAGCCTCCAGGATTGGATTTTCTAACCTTAAGCCTTGCGAGCCCCGAAGGCCAGAGCCCACAAGTTAAATCCAGGCGACTAGCATCTCCGAACCACCCGTATCATAAAATACGGTGGATACGTCCAGAGTACCGACTGAGCATGTATGGGCGCGGCGCATGTGTTGAGACGGCCGAAGAACACGGCACCTAATTGGCTGAACACTTTTCTTGCAGGGGTGAGCTGTTCATGCCATCCCGTTATTACCAATTCCATGTCATGTACGGAATAATACTGCCCATCCCCGAAGCCATCCATGCCGTGGATGGAGTCATCCACCTATCCAAACATCGCCATGAATGTCACATCACACAACGGAGTAACCGCTCGGTACTCCGTACGGGGCTGGTGCGATTTTAATAATTTGTGCATTAAGGATCAACATCCACTGTATGGAATTTCTGCAAAGTTCGGAGAAACATGTGATGACACTTGCTCAGAGCCCTGTGGCTAGTTTTCCAATTTGACTAGCAGGTATGCTGTTCCTGGAGGATACAGCAAGAATTCGTTAGGTATTTTACAGTGCGGAGTACAGAGTACAACCGTCCACCGTGCCCCGTACACAGTAGTCAATAAAATTATGCCGGACGGTACCCCGTGCTCCATCTCTTCTCGGCGTTTGCCATGATTTGATTGCTGAAGGTGCTCCACGATGGACTCCCAAGGTTTGAGGCCAAAAAAGACGAAGAGAAAGGGGGTGCCCACCATCTCCCTACATACGCGCAGCAATGCATATTTTTACAACTTGCCCCATCACAAAATCCTGTCCCAGATGTGGATTATCCATCATCGCCACAATCTTAAGAGTCGCCGACCAAAAAGTTCGCCATCCACGAGGAATTCCCATTGCGCCGGTTGCGAATTCGTACGTCATCCGGAAGAAGGGCGCAGTTTTTCTGGGAGGTGGCTCGGTCCTGCCGGCGCGCAGATTTTTGGGCGATAACCGTAACTCTGAGTCGGCGACGTTATGTGACTACGTACTCCGTACTCCGTAACCATTCGGTACCGTACCTTGCAATACAGTACAAAAAAGCTGAGTATTTTTGGCATCACATATTTATCACGTGAGTGTGTCTGAAAAGCCTGGGTCCCCAAGCCAGTGATTGAGACGACAATCAAAGGCAGAACGCGATGTGACATCAGAAGCGAAACCGGATCTTCTGACGCGACGGACGCAGTGAGGCGGATCCTCCCTCTTTGGGACGCCCGCGGCCATTTCAGGCAGCGCAGAAAGCGCGCGTCCCCGTGGACCATGGTCGCCGAACCACAAGGACGGCGTGACAATGCCAGACATACATGTAGATTTATCCGCATGTGCTAAGGAAATTCAACGCAATGTATGGCCACCCAACAGACTTTTGAGGAAGCCACTGAGAGTCTGCGACACCCGGTGAAACCTGGTCCTTGACTTGTGGAAGAGTTGGAATATGTCTTCTGACAATGAGAGGGTTCCTAACCCGTTTCAAGGTTGCTGGATCGAGGAGAAATAACGCAAGAGTTGGGAGAAGGAATCGGTTGGGTGGCTTCCATGCGAGGGACAAAGGCACAGGGTCTGAAATTTAGGGCCATTGATAGCGGTTCGGCAAACTTGTAACTAGTTAACTCAAATAGTGGTTGCGGTGCTTCTCAAGCCTCGAAAGGACATGGCCCTCAGACAATGGGCTATCTTGACCTATTATTATCTTCATGTCAAAGCATGCATGATCTCCTGGGTGAGGGCATTATAATTTGACAATTATTACGGAGTACCGTGTACCATTATTAGTTTGTGAGGTTTTCACCGCACAGCTGAGGGCACAAGGGTCATTGTTTATGCATGCATGCCTTACCACGCCCCATCTCGGAGCCAGAGATCACGTTCAGCAGGCCGAAGACATGGTTATTGCTTTTGATTTGATCGGCTCAGAGTATTAAACCAGGGATAAGAATTCGAGCACAGAGGCTTTCCTCAGCCTCCAAATTCCGATCTCATCTCTCCAAAGTCCTTAACTCCCCCACACGTTGTTGCTTGTAACATAGACAAAAACAGGATGAGATCATCGCCGTTTTATCGTATTTCTAGAATGTCCCCATCTTTTTAAGAGAGGGTTGGTTTGCGTTCATCAAGCGGAGTTACGAGCTTCCAAGCCTTTGAAAGAATTTAGCTCGGCAGGGCCGATCGCTGACATGGTGAATCTTCTGAATAATCCCGATCCTGAGCAACAAGTCTGAATATGGACGAAGTAGTGATGGCCGAGCCATGGGTCTGGGTTTCCATCGCCCTTCAGATCTTCCTCTTCCGTCCCTTTCTGCATCGCCAGCACGAGGGTTCGAGATCAGCGGGACGAGACGGGACAGAGAAAAGAAAAACTTCTCATCCATCTCCTCCGTATACCCACATCCATTGTGCATACATATTCTTGGGAACAAGTCGCTTACTCCTCCGTAATATGTAATTTTGGCAAACACCAGGATAATAAATCAGTTTCAGAAATCAGGGTTCGTCCGCGAGACGATCTCGATTGCACTTCTCCTCGCCCCATCGAAGAAGGAAAAAAGGCCCGTAAGGCCCACCTCAGTCAATGCCTGGTCGCGGAGCCCTTCACGATGGGCGCGTTTTGGCTAACGATCCCTCCAACGCGGCAATGCCGCTAAGGTGTTCCAGTCAAACCCCACAGTTTAGTTAGGTACCATCTCTGGGAGAACCAACACCAGGACCGGAACCCCGTGAGAAATCCTTTCCAGATCACAAGGCCTTCGCTTCCTCTTGAAAGTC